TCGAGTCATCTACGAAGTACCAGAAGCCATATTCATGTACTTTTGACCGTCTCTTCACACCCGTCGCCTTATGGATTGCTGTGAATGCACCCTAAGTACCGAATACATTGTTCAGCTGCTTTGCTTCCCCGACTCAAGCGCGAACCACTCCTTCGGAAACTTCGTGTCAAACTGTAAAGTGTAAATTCGCAAAAGCGTAAACTATAATTCCTTCGCTCGTTAATAATGACTCTCGCAGCTGGGCAGGCTGTAGCTTGATTAGGCTGACAGCCAAAACAAGCTGGAGGTGGAGCTAGTACGAGGGACCTGCTGGATGTACTGTAGCTAGCTAGCTAGTCTAGCGGAGCCATCCAATATTCAATCGCTCATCGTCAGCATCCCACACTCGACCTCGTCCCCTTCTCTGATTATACACAAGGGTAAGATCATCAACTCTTGATCCTGCTTTTACCCAGGAACTATCTAAAACTGCAAGATGCACTATGCAAGATGTACTCCACCGTCACCAAAAGCAAACATGTCAAGTTAAAAAAAAAAGCAAGTGGCCCCATCTCCCCAAACTCCCCAACCCCACGCACCATGTGGCCCCGAACACCGTCAGATCCCAACGCCGTGGACTCGTGTCCGACGCACACTTTGTGCGATCCTGCGCACGGAACATGCGCTTGGTCTCGCGTCTTACGAAGAATGTAGATCGTATGCTGTCATTACTTTTGGTCTGGTGCCCAACAGGAAAGTCGAAACTTGGACTCAAGGGACCATAACACACTTTGAAAAGAATTGTTACAATGAGCCCAGGCCCATTCGGAGCAATGATCGCTTTTGCTCCGCGATCAGATTTAGAATGCTATGATGTCTTCTATTTACGCGCCCCCCCACCTTCCATTCATTCCACATACACACAACCCGTTCGTATTTTCGTGCTAGTATCTCCTCAGAGGAGGGAGGGTATCCATTGGTCCCAACGGCTCGGCTCTTGATCGTATATGCGCGCTTGGAGGTCGTGGAGTGCAGCGCAGACGTGTCTACAACCCGACTACCTGGTAAGTCCAGTCAGTGCAAGAGACTGACTTGATGCTTGCAGGCGATATCACGTTTACTGCAGTAGCACAGCAGTGCATGCTCCGTACTCAAAGTAGACACGTAGATACCATAGTAGTCATCCCTGGAATCGTTTATCAATGCAAGCGCGAACGGACACTCAGCAAGACAGTGAGAGATACATACTCCATCCTTCTATGCCCATTTTTGGAGACACTATTCCACCAACGGAGTGCATCTTGCAGCCTCGCTCGTGACCAATATTGAATCAATGACGCATAAGACCGCAGAAACAAGAGTCCTTGATTCCGCCATTGGCTGTTCTGCCAAATGCACGATAGCCGCAAGGCTGGACCGACTATCCTGGATCCTCTCTGTCCTGGCTTGCCGACGAGCATGGACTAATGAGCAATTGGGCATGAATATCGCCAGATCGTCGTCAGTCGCTAGTGCATCTTCGATCTCGCAGATTCCCAGGAAAAGATGATCAGACAACGGGGTACATAGTCCGTAATCTACGCGGTCCCCCACCTGGAAACTAGTCGTGCTGCAGAGACAATCACTAGCCTGGCCCAATCCTGCAAGTACATATCATCCTTGCAAAGAAGCCAGATAAACAAGATGCAAGTAATACGCCACAGTCTCAACATGCCAGGATACCGTACCTACCTACTCGCGCATCGATGCCCTAAGCGCAGGGCCAAGGTAGGCACCTAATACCCAGGGAGCCACAGTCTGCAACCGATGAAGAACTAGAAAAGATAGTCACTTAGATAGTCAATTTCCACGACCTCGGGGTGGACCAATTCTCGCTAGTCTTGCAGTATCTAGTACATACATCCCTGTCTTTGACTTGATCGGCGCTTCCCCCTTGCGTGGATTCCACACCGACGGTATGAGAATTCACGCGGCCGGAGGTGGGGGGTTTCGCGTGTTTGGAGTTCTGGGGAAGAGCGTGGAATGTACAGACAGTATGGGGCTCCTGTCCTAAGAATCCTGGTTCGCATGGAGAATGCTTCCTTTAATTTGCTTTTTCCAGGGGGCTTTGAGTTCGCTCCGGGCCCTTGGGTTGGGAACTCATGGTGCTTGCTTGCTTCGGCTGTTAGGTAGGGAATGCTGGGATTTTAGGATGTGACAGGTCAAGCTGGAGTTTTCTGCGGGGGTTGTACTTTTGTGTCGTGTAGTGGGGTAGGTATATCTATGCGCTTGATGTAAACATAGATTTCTTGCCCTATACTTGTTGATGATTGATGCAAGCATCGTTTGGCGTAGTGGCAGAGAATTCGAACGGTTGAGCAAAGTAATGGATATTCTTCTGATGCCGGTCACTGGTCATGACTGGCGAGTACCAAATTCCCTATGATATGTTTCGAGAAAGATATACATCTTAGATATTGACAGTGGAAGTGAAGTTCCAACCTAGGTATTCATCGCCAGCTTTTTATAATCAGAGAAGAGTCGAATCACATATAGTACAAGCAAGAACCTAGAAAGAACTGTCGTTCTCGACTCCATGAAATCAATATTGTACAAGTTAGACCCCAGCGCCATAAACTTGCTCCGCTATGCTTAATTATTAAAGAAGAGTATCACACCCGCAATCTCTAAGGCGACGACCCCAAGACCTCTGCAACAGCAGGATTCTCAGAAACCTCTCTAGTGAACCCAGTACCCCTCCGCACATGCATCAGCAGGCGAAGGGCACCGGCAGGCGTGACACCTTCAATGCGCCTAGCCATGCCAACACTGGAAGGACGCACCCGCTCGAGTGCTTGCTTTTCTTCATTGCTAATGCCAAAGATCTTGTTGTAGTCCAGGTCGGCAGGGAGTAGCAGGTTCTCATCCTGCTGGAAACGCTGCGCCATCTTCTCCTGTCGCTTGAGGTATGGGGCATAGCGGCCCTCAATAGCAACACGGGTGCGGATCTCGGGCGCGAACGATGCCACGTTATAGGCCGTGCCATTCGCAGCATCAATGTGTGGAATGAGTGTGTCAATGTCGGTTCCGTCGAGGCAGAGGATATCGAGTGCTGAGCGGATCGAGGTGTCGGCACGAACCTTGAAGCCCTTGCGAGACCAAGCGGTTGAAGAGAGCCTCGTGTTCTCCAAAAGGGCCTGAAGTTCCTGTATCTGGCCCTCGGTGTCGCGGAACTGCTGCCAGCGCTTGTCGCCAACGACACCGGCTTCGCGAGCCATACGAGTCAGTCGTAGGTCGGCATTATCAGAGCGGGTAGAAATGCGGTATTCACTCCGAGTCGTGAACATCCGGTACGGCTCAGAGACTCCCTTGGTGATGAGGTCGTCGATCATAATACCGATGAAACCATCAGAACGAGTGAGTGTCACTGATCCTCGGTTCTGAGAAGCCAGACCGGCATTTATACCAGCGATGATACCCTGACCAGCTGCCTCTTCGTAGCCCGTGGTGCCGTTGATCTGACCAGCCAAGTAGAGGCCACTGATTAACTTGGTTTCTAGGGTTGGTCGAAGATTGCGTGGGTCAATATAGTCGTACTCCACTCCGTAGCCTGGCTGGAGCATTTTGACATTCTCCAGACCGCGGACAGTCCGCAACATAGCGTACTGTGCATCTGCGGGAACGGTCATAGAGATGCCGTTGGGGTAGACCACATCGTTAGGTGCGAATCCTTCCGGCTCGAGCCAGATCTGATGTTGTTTCTTGTCCTTGAACCGGATGATCTTGGACTCCAACGATGGGCAATACCGTGGTCCCCGAACGGTCTCTCGAATGTGGATAGAGTTCTCCAGGTTGGCCCTGATGATCTCGTGAGACGCCTCATTGGTGTGGGTCAGCCAGCATGTGAGCTGACCCTCATCGCCAACCTCAACAGTCGAATTGAGATATGAGAAGGGCATAGGTGGCGAATCACCACGCTGAATTTCCAAACCAGAGAAGTCAATCGACTTCATGTCCAATCGCGGCGGCGTTCCGGTCTTCAACCGGCCCAGCTGGAAGCCAGCTTCACGGAGAGACTTGCTCAACCCATAAGTCGGCGCCTCGCCCATCCGCCCCGAAGGATAGCTTTCCAATCCGATGTGAATCTCACCCCCCAAAAAGGTACCTGTTGTAATAACCACACGGCCGGTAGGAATAAACCTCCCGGACTCCAAGCGCACGCCAACAATCTTGCCCTGGGCACCAGGGGTGTTCTCCATGCCTTCCTTAGAGACTACAATATCGGCGACCTTGTCCTCCACAATACTGAGACCCTCGGTATTGACCAACTCGTCCGTCATGTGCTTCTGGTAAAGGTCGCGATCGATTTGCGCGCGCGGTCCCCACACAGCCGGGCCCTTTGAGCGATTTAAGACACGGAACATGATGCCTGCCTTGTCAATAATGCGCCCAGCAACACCGTCCATCGCATCAATCTCGCGAATCATGGTACCCTTGCCGATTCCACCAAGGCTTGGATTGCACGAACACACGCCGATGTTCGATAGCGAGGGCGTTACCAACGCAGTCCGAGCCCCAGATCGTGCAGCAGCAGCGCATGCCTCTGCTCCAGCGTGACCACCTCCGATTACAACGACATCATAGGCCCTATTCAAAGAATCTGATTAAAAATATTGAAAGAGTAGGGAATAAGGGGACACCACGGACTGTGCGCCATTTGAAACCGTTGCGAGGCCGCGGAACCTGCCAACCAGGCGAGGTAACCCAATGCGCTTGTGCGCCACGGGAGATGACCGCGCCCTGAGTATCATGGCGGAATGCATCGTAAAACGAGGCTTGTCGACGAGGAACTCACTCTCTTCAGCTCGCGATAAGACAAAAATATCGCCATGGCACGTGACTGATAAGAGATGACATAATATGGTCGCGCAATCGGCCAATTGCGGGGCTGCAGATGTTCAGCGTCGGATTTCTAAGAATCTCACCGAGTTGCTTTCGCTGTCCTCAGATTCACGAGAAAAGCTATTCTCAGACATTTCAAAATGAAGGCCTATTGGTATGACAACAAGCCCGTAAGTTTCCTGCCGCCAGTTCTACCCTGAGACCACTGAGGGGCCATTCGATGAGGCAAATGGGCATAGTGATGCTAATGTATACTTTGCGCCAGGGCGACCAGCGCGAGCCGCACGACTCTGGCCGCGCCGTCTCGGAAGAGAAGCTTGCGTCGCTTGGTGTCATCTATCACAACTGCCCGACCATTGCCGCCGTTGACGCCATTGCCAAGGACCGCGGCTACAAAAACCGTGACCAGGTCTGCGTGTCCCCGGAGGCTATGGGCGACGTCTACGAGGACAAGGTGAAGATGTTCTTCGCCGAGCACCTTCACGAGGATGAGGAGATCCGCTATATTCTCGATGGCGAGGGCTACTTTGATGTGCGGGGCCAGGAGGACGAGTGGATCCGCATCGACCTCGTTAAGGATGATTTGATTATCTTGCCCGCGGGCATCTACCACCGCTTCACCACCAATGAGCAGAACGTATGTGAATATGCGTGATGTGCCTTCTGAGTCATTAATGATTGATTCCTCTCATCTAACCTGCCATGCTTCATAGTACGTCAAGGCTATGCGCCTCTTCCAGGATGAGCCCAAGTGGACGCCGCTCAACCGTGGCGTTGAGCTTGACGCGAACCCGCACCGCAAGAACTACGTCGAGGCCGTTCTGAAGCCCACTACTGCTGTGAACTAGGTGGCTCCGGTATGGTCGGTTCTTGATAGGGTGTTGCGACGTTTAATGACTGCATGGAATGACGGCTTTCGATGGATCAGAGACAGGATTTGATTTGCAAATCCATCGGTTTCCAATTATCTTTATACAAATGAGTAGATACTGCACATACACACAATGAGAAGTTGGGGAACTCTTCTCCTGATCTGTATGATTCATCGTATCGAATAAGTATACATCGGGTTGGTGAAGGAAGGCTTCAGGCTACAATGCAGAAGTTGTAGATAGGCACGGAGGTATTATACACGGCTATCACATCAGTTTCGGCCCACGGGAACCCCACCTGGCATAGCACCAGGCATCTCAAGCTGATCGCTTGCAGCGCCGGCGCTGTCTTGCCGGGTCATACTTGAACTCCGCAGGCCGCCCATATCCGCATTGAAACTGCTGTTGCGCGAGCCCGCACCAAGTCCTAATCTTGCATCCAACCCCCCACGAAAGCGCAGTCCCTCTTGTTCGCGAATATGATCATCGGAGAACCGCATTGGCCCTCCAGCTTCTGCTGAGCCGGCACTTCGTGGCGGCGCAGTGGATCCTGCATCGGAGTCTTCGCCGGTTCGTACGCCGGTCCGGCCCATGCGTGGCCACAGGTCAGGAAGACCGACAACCTGCACTCGTGGCTCGACAACACGTTCCTCGAACCAGGCATGTACCCGGGCCTCGACGAGCTGAGCTACCTTGGGAACATCCTGCAATCTGCTGCGAGACCCAATAAGTGAACGCACAGAGAGATCGAGTCGATAATCAGGGAGGAACGAGAACGCGACATTGCTTTTAGGACTGCTCTTGGATGAGGTTTGATCATGCGCAGCGCCGGTATCTGAAGCACCTGGGGCGCTATTGGGCCTTGCGGTTCCATCTGCCGGGGGCGTAGGCGATGTCGCAGGAGTATGAAGAGGCTCCGTTGATGCTGGGATCAGCGAAATACATAGGGTTCCCGAAAATCGCACAACCGAAACAGACAATGCAACGGGAAGAATCGCCGAACGTGGTTTAGGGTAATTCAAGACCAGTTGAGTCTCTACAGCGATGGAGAGGTTGTCGTCGCTCAAGTCGACGTCCAACAATGCTTGCAATCTTCCACCATCCGAATTGGGATCGTCAACCGTGATAATTCGACAGTTGCTGAAGATTGGGAATTCCTCGCCAAGCGAGATATCCGTGACATTGATTTTCTCGATAAAGGACGGCTTCTTCTCGGGGTTGTTCATCGCCGCGGTCAGGGAGCTCAGAATTGAGGATGTTGGCGAATCTTTGAGCAAGTATGCCGTCTGTCGGTATTGCGCAATCGTCTGTGCAATCAGCACATTGAACCAATCCAGCGATTCAGGCTGGTGGGAGGAGTGGTGCATGCGGTGGCGGCCATGTTTGGAGGAGGGGTTGGTAGGAATAGAGCTGTAGTAGGTTTTGCGAAGGATCGAGCGCGTATTTGTAGATGAAGCCGGTACAGGGCGAAGGACGTTTGATGTAGACGGCTTTTCTCGGAGGGACTTTTGGCCATCCTGCGAGGGGCTAGAGACGGAGCTGTAGCGGCGGTGGGTTGTACGGTTGGACAGACCGCGGGACGGAGGTGGCGGCGCCTCGCCAAAGATGAAGAATTTGATGAAGGCGCCAATAAGGAGGACGACAGAGAGTTGGCCTAGGAGGAAGCCTTGCGTGAAAGATAATCTGCAGGCGGGAAAGGGTAGTTGGGTTAGCGATCTAGATTCACACTCCACAGGTTCAGATGGGCGTACGAGGACTGCGGCGCCACAATGACGGGATCGGCTAAATAAAGTCTTAGTAAGGAATGGTACAATTGACTGGGTTGCACCAATGGTACATACGTGGTTGGAGCACCATTGTCAGCGGCAGTGAGCGAGCCCCTGTTCGTGAAGCATCTCCACTGAAGGAAGGTTGAAGTCGGAATGGGGTTGGGCCTCGGTGGATCGTTCTTGGCTTGCTTATCAGCTTATCAGCTTATCGGCCAGATCGGACCGAGCTTTTTAGGACACGCTGGACGTCGCGACTGGCACGCCACTTGTGAACTGTTTATGGAGTCGATGGGGTCGATCTCTCGATGACTCAAAGCTTGCAGCCTGATTCATAGACGCCAAACTGGCCTTTTGATTTGTTTTTAACTAATTTTTGCCATCCATCTCCAGCAATCTCTGCTCCCACCAAGCTCCCACCATCGAGCCTTGTCAGGAGCTACACCACGATGCACTGGATATCGCTAGCACTGCCGACGCTGCTCCTGGCCTCACCAGCAGTATGCGATAGATCGCAAAAGCCACCGGGCAAAGATGCCATACTCTTATCCAATGTCAAAACCTTAACGCTTCGGGGCAACCGCGAAACAACCTCTCGACGTGTGTCCCCCATCCCCCAGCTGAGCTGTGTCGGGCCCTCCAAGAAAGTATGCGATCTCTACCGGATCGATGCAATGCGTTGCACAAATGATGGCTATGACTACGATGCCGAAGATGTACAATGGACTTGTACAGCCTCACTGCCACCCGAGTTCAAGCTCGGCGCAACAGACGTCGTGTGCGAAGGGTATCGGAATTCAGAGGATAAGTGGGTACTCAAAGGTAGCTGCGGTGTCGAATACCGTATGCTCCTCACGGACCAGGGAGAGAAGAGGTTCGGAAAGGCCAGTGATGACTACGAGTGGTCTTCCCTGTTTGGGAAAGCAAAGAAGACATCCGGACGTGGTTGGAAGAAGGGGGTAGAGACCGTCGGAGACATCGTGTTCTTTGGTTTCTTCGCTGCTGTTTTCTTGTTCATTGTTGGCCGATTTCTTTCTGAATGTCTTGGTCGACGGAGGGGGAATCAGAGAGGTGGGACTACTGGACGAAGATGGGGGTGGGGAGGAGGCGGCGGCGGCGGTGGTGGTCGTGGTGATGGCTTTTATCCGGGGCCTCCGCCTTCATACAGCAGCGCCTGTGCTGATGACAGTTCCAGTTTTGGATTTGGAAGTCGACCTGCTACGCAGGGCTGGCGACCAGGTTTCTGGACGGGAGCAATGGGTGGCGCTGCAGCGGGATATGAGATGGGCCGGCGGGCTGGTTCCAATAACCGAGCTTCTTCTCGACAAGAAGGATCATTCTTCGGTCGACAAAATAATTACGACGCTGGAGAGAGCAGCTCGCAGACACGTTCGTCGCCATCGTTCTCAACCACGTCAACCAGCACTGGATTTGGGTCGACAAGGCGTAGGTAGTCTGTAAGCCATCTTGAAAAATATTTACTAGCACAAAACTTATGAATACCATACTGTTCGAGCAATTTTGGCACAAACGATATGGAAAATAGTGAGAATCGATGACGAGAGCTCTGTCTAGCAATTAAGAAACGCCATGGCTCCGACCGTCGGCTAAACCTATGTATATCATCCATGAAAAGGAAAAACGCCGCAAACCTCCTGGTGTATCCATCCCAAGTACCGAACCCTGTAGAACACCCGCTTTGAAAAAGGGAAATAAAAGCTTCAAGCCATGGGAATGTCGTCGATAGAACCGAGGACTTCCTCCGTACCACCACCGGCCGCATTCTTCACGTTTTTTTTCCGTTTGCCCTTGATGGGAACGCCGTTGCTCTTATCGCCGTTGGAAGCAGCGTTGTCATCGACACCTGTGCCAGTGGGGTTGCGCATCAGGTCCTCATGCAGCTGCTTTTCCTTCTCGTGCTGCTCCTCAATGCGTTTCTTTTCGTCGTCCAATTCTTGCTGAATGATCTTGGGGTCCTCGTAAACCTGGTTGGTCAACGCAGAGTAGGCCGCGATGTCGATAGTCTCACGCGGCCCAAGAAGAGTATCCTTAATCCGCTGTGGATCTTTGCGCTCTTCATTGTTGAATTTCAGCTTGATCTGACGGCGAGACCGTCCCGGGAAAAGCTTGCTGATGACCATGAAGTCTGTACCGAACATGCGCAAGCCGCGGTAGAACAGATCGGTCATGTCCTCATCCCATGATTCGTTCTTGGTACGTTTGCCGTATGTGGCCTGGTTAACCTTCCGAGTAAGCTGATTTTCCACCACGTCCTCGAGGTCGCCTGCAGCTCGCGCAGCATCTGCATGACGATCCACTTCCAGCGACGCATTGTCCAGCACAATCTCGCCGTTGACGATGCGCATGACTGGTCCAGACTGTGGTATGGGCGCAGCAAGAGGATCTGTCTTATTGGCATCCGAATCGTTCACTTTCTTCGGCGTTTCGGGAGTTGAGCCTTCTTCTAGCGCCTTTTGCTTGCGTTCTTGCTCCTCCAACTCCAACTTGCGCAATTCGGTCTCTCGCCTTGACTTCCGTCCGGTTTTGAGGTCTTTGCAAAGCTCAGACATCTTGACCACGTTGGGTAGAATTTCCACCATCTCTGCGCCCTCTGGGGTCGGCTCACGCTTCCTGGGGCGACGCTTCGGCCGTTCAGAGTCGCGGCCAGTATCCGATACCTTGGATACCTTCCGTTTCTTCCCTTTTGCAGATACTTGGCTCGCTTCGGGAGTCACGGGTACCAGCGATCCACCTGGTGTCTCACTCGATGCTGTAGAGGAGATTGGTGGGGCAACGGCGTGTACTGGGCCCCTGCCACGATTTGTAAATTCGGAAGTTTTCTTAGCCCATTTCAAAGACCGGCCAGTAACGGGAGCGGATGCTGTAGGTTGGGGCTCCGAAACGGACTGGCGTGGTGAAATGGCTTCGTCTGAAACACGTGTATCTGCTAAAGGGACTGCTACCTCGGTCACTTCAGTTGCCTCAGTCGATTCCTCGACCAACGTTGACCGCGGGATATCAGTCTCGATTGATGGCAGGACATTTGTTTCGGTTGGTAATGTTCGAGGCGAGGCTGGAGTGTCGGGTAGGTTGGTGGAGGGTGAAGCAGGCGGCGCCTGCGCAACGGTAGTAGGTTTAGATATCGATGGTTTGCGAACTGGGCGGGGGATTGAGATGGGGGTAGCTGATTTTGGGGAGGTTGGAGCTGCTGGGGGTGCCTCTGAAACGACAGCTGGGGCCGACTCAGGGATTGCAGGTTGTTCCGGCTCCACAGACGACCCAGATGGCGGAGGTACGGACTCTGTTATATCCCTTTCCTGCTGTTGACCCTGGGCACCTTGCGCTGGGGGCTGCTGAGCTGCACTTGGTCTTCTCGCGGGCGCAACAGGGCCCGGCGCACCGCGGCGGGGCGGCGCCTTCGGGGCAAACTTCTTGCCCGATTTATCTAAGATACGAAATCAGTCAGATAAATAAACCTGGAATGCATGAGAGTTTCCTTTGATATCACTTACTAACTGCCGAACTCACGAAGGACTTCATTGTTGTCCATTCCCAAGGAGACGGAGGGGTTGAGAGGACCAGGAAAAGTTGTCGCGCGCCGGGGAAGTGGATTCGTGATCACGTGAGAGGCGCTAACGGCACCCTAAACCTCGTTGAAAATCCTCCTGTCTTCAACTCCTTCAGTTCTAACCATCGCAACTCCACACCCACCCGGTGATCCTCTGTCCACAGTGTCACTACCTTATTCTTATTACCAGCGGATCCTGATTCCGGTATCTTTGTCGGCAGAATTGGCACTCGATCACGCTGTCTTATCTGTGGCTGACTGGACTGACGGTTCGGCGGTGATCGAGACCCCCTCCTCTTTCATGCCAGTCTAGCCACTGATGCCGGCCGTCGAACCCCCCGTTCTATCTTCAGAGTCCGGATTCGTCAAGATGGAGGACCGGAAGAGGCCCGCCGCAGAGAACAATGAGTCGGCCCCGCCTTTGAAGAAGCAGGCGACCACCGTCAACGGTGGAAGCAAGCCTCACCCAGATGCGGATATGCCATGGAAAGATGACTTGGAGGTGAGTGGTCAAATCAGTGGATTGTTTTTGACACCCTTGCAGAGGCTCAGGCTCGCGCAGGGCCCGCGTTCCAGGGATATGATACTAACAGGACATTTATGATAGCGCTTCCAAAAAGACGCGATCCTTCGCCAAATGCAAGAATACAAGCGAGAGAAAGCTGGGTTAGAATCGCGCTTGGATCGGATGTCTAAAGCTGCTGCCCATCATGACAATCACCTTCGTGCTATCGATGCTTGGTTTCGCCAGGTGAGTCCCCGCATCCACTTATCAATTCAACGCCCCCATGCATTTGCAGGCTGACCATATTCCAAGTTGGTGGATGAGGTGAAAACCATTCTTGGGCCCTCGCAGGACTTGATCAAAGGTCAGTAATTTTCTCCGATTCATGAATTGCTTGGGAAGTCAAGACTGATGAGTACTCGTAGAACCTGCGTTCAAAAGCTCGCTTCAATTCGAAGATGTGGACGAATTCGAGAGCCATTTAAAGGCGAGGACGGAAGATATTCGCGAAATCATCTCTTATTTCCGCTCGGGAGTGGCCGATCTTTCGCCCGACGTCACTCAGCTTCAAGACCAATTAGCGAAGAAGCTCGCAGAGGAGAAAGTCACGATTGCTAAATTGGAACAGACAGTTGCCGAAAAGCAACAACTCGAAGAAAGTTTGGAAGCCGCGTCACTTCGGTACATGGTGGCGGAAAAGAAACTTGATCGGGCACGTAGTGTGACTGTTGCCAAATTGGAAAAGCAGTTTTTGATGGGTGGACAACGCCCAAGCTCGGAGGGTGCGCAGGCCAAACGCGAAGATTCGTCTCCGGCCAACGGAGGAACTCCCGTTGGGGAGCGAAGTGCTGAGTTGGAGGAGACTAACAATAAGCTGAATGCGGTGTTGGAGAAGCAAAAGGAACAGTTGCAGAAGTTGGAGGCTGAGAATGCGAACCTGCTCGGACAAATTACCGAGACCAAGATCAAGGTGGGTCCTCCTCTCCTTGTCCGTTCTGCGCCACTTCGGGCATCACAGACTGACTGGAGATTCTTTGTAGGGCTCGAAACTTACAGACGAGGATTATGCTCATACCGATCTCTTCAAACAACTTCGATCCCAATATGACGATGTGGTGAAGCGCATCAACCATCTAGAGGCAACGAATGTTCAATTGCGCGAGGAAGCCGAGAAGTATCGCTCAGAACGGAATGCATACAAATTGCAGCTCGAGGAAGAATCGAAGGCCACGATCGCCGAAAAGGAAGCAGCCTTAATGAGAGCCGAAAATGACTTGGCGCGGATACGGAACACTCGTGATGAACTTTTTGCCGATCAGCAAATACGCAAGAATGCCCAGGACCAGGAGAAATCCGCTGGTGTCAAGTTGCAGGAGCTAGCGGATGCCAGAGAAGCCCGCATCGCCGCTTTGGAATCCGAAATCGAGAGGTTGCGGCTGCAGATTGAGGGATCCAAAACGGCTGAGAATGTTGACGACATACCGATTGAAGAACTTCGTTCCAAGTACACCAGTCTGGAACGCCAATATTCCATGCTCAACACCGAGTTGGCCTCCATGCAATCGGCATACAAAAAGTTTTCGACCCTTGCCTCGCAGAAAGTGACTGACTTTGGTGCCTTGGAAGAGAAGGTGGCACGGCTGACGGCGGAGAAGTCCAAGGCTGATCAAAAGTACTTCGCTGCCATGAAAAGCAAGGAGGCGCGGGATATGGAGGTTCGCACACTTCGAATGCAGAATTCAAAGACTTCCGATATTGTGTCGCAGTTGAAGGAGTCGGAGGCTGCAACAAGGTCTTTGTTGTCTAACATGGACAAGCAAGTCAGCGAGACGAAGGAGGCTTTGAATTCCGCATTGGAGAGACACCGGGTGACCCAGCAACAGTTGACCGAGAGCAACATTGCGCTGGAGGGTCTGAAGAATCAAGTCTCAGAGTTGAAGACCCTGTCAACTTCCAAGGACTCAACTTTGAGCAGCACGTCATCTGCCTTGCGTCAAGCAGAGACTGAGATCTCAGGCTTGAAGCAATCACTCTCAGATACGAAGAAGAGCCTGGACAACTGGAAGACCAAGAGCCTTGGCAACAACTCCTCCGAGTATGAGATGTTGCGGGTAAGTTTGCACCCAAACGATTTCTCCCCTGATAGCTCGACTAACCTTCTTCTTCTAGACTCTTGCACTGTGCACGGTTTGCCGCCGCAACTTCAAGAACACCGTCATCAAAACGTGCGGTCACGTCTTCTGCAAGGACTGCGTCGAGGAACGTCTGACTTCGCGCTCCCGCAAATGTCCCAACTGCAACCGTTCGTTTGGAAGCAACGACCACATGCACATTACCTTGTGATCGTTTCACATTTCCCCTCAAAATTCTCTTCTTGTATTATACCAACCTTTTTTGTTCCCTACCACCCTTTCGTCTTTCTTTCGCTGCCCCCTCTTTTTTTCGATCCTATCCTCCTTTGGATGGTCACTTTCCGACAAGTCCATGGTGCGGTGTTTGATGGCTGGTTTTAGCAGGATATGGTTGGAAATGGCGTTCTGATGAGTTCGTGCTCCGGTATCCAACCCGAGAGTACTCGTGTTTTTGTTTATGCGATCGCATTCTGGTCGACACACATGGTGCATTCCTTCTTTCTTTCTCTTTCTCTGCGGCGCTGGGGCGCTAAGTGAACGGGCTGTGCTCTCTTTGGATACCCTATTTCCCGAGAGGCGCATTGGGTTACTGTTTCCTCCCTCGGCTTGTGAATCTAGATATCTGTCTCATGTAGGAATACTACATCTAGGTGGAGCACAATGTGACATGATGAATGCAAATGTAAAGTCTCATACATTTATGACTGAAAATCATCTCTCAAAGACGCCTTGCTCCTGACTGGTCGGTGATCTCCATAATTGATCCTCTTGATAATCTAATCTTATTGTACCAGCACTTTCTGAGACAACTACCTTTTCATACTCCTGTTTGTAAATGCCTTGTTCGTCAATCATATGTGTATTCGCTAATTCAGATAATGTACATTCATAAAACTTCCCCCCCAAAAAACACGCTAGGTATATATGCTGGTCGATGCAAATCATGAGTTGAAAATGCGGCTATAAAGCAGCTCGTGGCGGCCCACCCACAGGTCCAAAGCAGGAACAACCTGCCCCGCCTGCTCAACCTCCGTATTCCACTCGCGCTGGATGCGCTTCAAAATAGTATCTTGTAACGTCTGACTCGCCAGAATGTTCTGCGCCTGGTACGGGCCCATCACCGAGGCCCGCACTGCAGCGCTCAGAACCGCCTTGGCATGGTTCAGTACGAAGATATAAGCCGCTTGGTGCAGGTCCAAGCCCATCGCTCGACAGACGACTCCCCAGAGCGGGGCGAAGTGGCCCTTGGGACCGAGATCATATTCATTATCTTCGTCACTGTAGGACTTGAGCGCGTCAGAGAAGTCATCTATTGCGGTGACGGCTACCTCGGCACCGGTGTCGGTGGCGGCGGGGGTTGCGAAGCTCATGCGGAATGCGCGCTCCCAGGCGCCGATAAGGGCTCGGCCCTGTGCAATGCTAGCGCGCTGGGCGACAATGCATGGGGTTGAGGCGTCGAGGTCGTTATCGAGGGTTTCAAGGGTGTCGGGCTCACGGTAGCCGGCGAGGACGTAGGGGAGAGATGTGCTGGCAATGGAGGCGATGGAGAGTTTCAGGAAGCGGTGGAAGGATGTGATAGGGTTGGCGCGGAGAGGCTTATTATGTGCGAGGTAGGACTCCAGTCCGCTGGAATATGCGAATGAGCCCAATGGGAGAGCGGAGTCGGAGAGAAGGAGGAGGGCGTGGAGTGAGGATGAGTGAACGGAGCCCGTGTGGAATTTGTTGTGGATATTTTCGTGCTTATAGATGTCTGTTGAAAGATTATCAGCATAAGTGCCTCTTCAAACTTCGAGAGTGAAGTGCTCACCTGACGGCATGGTCCAGGGTGTCTTCTGGTCGGGGTGGGAAGCAGGGGGACTGGGGTATTGAGAGACGTCAAGCTGGGCCCGCAGGTCGTGGAGGCGGGCCTCGAGCTGGGCGATCTCGGTCTGCACGTGTTGCGATTGATCGTTATCGAGCAGCATTGTGGAGGTTGTGGTGGTGTCGAGTCCGGGGTATAAAATCTGGGGCACGTCTCAAAACTTTAAAGGAAGAGCAGAAGAAGATTCGAGAGTGAGGATCGAAGAAGTTCAACTGGAAGAAGTGCCGATAAGGCGGTTTTAGGAGCATTAGAAAGGCGATCGGCAGAAAAAAGTGGAGAGTCGGAGGCGGCCGAGGGCGCCCGGCGGATTCTCTATCTCCAATCCATTAATCATTGCCTTTACACATCTTCCTAAACCACTCCTAGGCTGGCTAGCTGCTGACTCGGATCACTCTTGATTCGCTCTCCCATTATTATTACTCGATTGAAAAAAATCATTACTAGCCCACCCTGTTTACTCCGATATCTGACACCGCCCTATTTTGCCCGATGCGATAGGAAAGCTCCCCCCCCCCCCCAAATCCACACTACGTCGTTTGAGAGTCGTGGCTCGCGACTCGAGACAATGTCCGGTCGAAGGGTGCTGGATGCCATCCAGTTCCTCAATGTCTCCAAATCGATTGCGCTGAAGCATTTGGCCATTCGTCAGCACCAGCTCAATGTCTACACACGCACCTCGTCCTTGACCAAGGGCATTAAGGATCAGACCGAGGGGTTGATCCTGACCGCACAAGCCGCTGCCGCGTTGGCGCGTCGCTTCAACGACGAGCCCTCGCCGCCTCCGCCGACCCCGAGCGCTCCCTCCCGGTCGCCGACGACGCTGGCCGCCGAACCATCGGCCGATAAACCCACTTACCCCAAGACGACTGCGACTGCAACCTCCCCTGCTCCAGAAAAGGCTCGGATACTGCAGCGCCAGGCGGAGTTCCAGGTGCCGTCCTCTACAGCGCAATACAGTGGCCATGAAACACCAGGCAACCTGAATATTAGCCCTCAGCAAGAGGTGTACTATCAACCATCACAGGAGACCGCGCCGGACATGTCCGCCTTGCCTAGAGTGAAGCTACCCAAAGCTGTTGGAGATACCCCAAAGATTGGGCGGGATGGTTTGAATGCCGACGTCTTTAACTCGGCGACGGGGCCCGAAAAACACGATGGCCCGGCCAAGCAAGAGGATTTGTCGGAAGAGATGATGCAAAGTCTGTTCCACAGCCCGAGAGTATCACGAATGTTGTCGGGGAAGCCGGCGCCCCCGTCTGCGGCCCAGAGGCAGTGGCCGCCGGTGGACAGGGACCAGTTTGTGCAACAAGAGCTTGCCGAAGCCATGAAGGCACCCGATTCTCAACCCGAGACCATTGCCAAGTCAGAGGTGAAGGAGTTGGAGGAGTTGGCAGCCAGTGTTGCAAGTGATGTAACGTCACCTGCCGCGGAGGTCGTGACGGGGGAGAACCCTGCACCGTACCAAATGATGGAATCTCGGGTGCCATCTTCTCGATTGGGCAGATTATGGCAGTATGGTGGGCTGGCCACCTCGATGGCGTTTGGTGCCGTCACCGAAACTATGCGACGGGCTACCGGCAGCCACGATAGTGGCTCGATCATGTTCAGTGCGGGTAATATGGAACGTCTAGTAGCCAAGTTGTCGAAGATGCGCGGTGCTGCTCTCAAGCTCGGCCAAATGTTGAGCATCCAAGACTCCAACATGTTGCCCGAACCAATTCAGCAGGTCCTCCAGCGTGTCCAAGACCGCGCGGACTACATGCCCGCTTCGCAGCGTGATAAGGTTCTAGCCGACAACCTAGGCCCTGACTGGCGAGACCTTTTCACATCGTTTGACGAGATACCCATGGCCGCCGCCTCGATCGGCCAAGTCCACGCTGCCGTCCTCAAGAGCACCGGCAAGCCCGTCGCGGTCAAGGTTCAGTACCCGGGCGTCGCCGATTCCATCGACTCCGACTTGAACAACCTCTCTATTCTTCTCACAGCCTCCCGCATCCTCCCCCGCGGTCTTTACCTTGACAAGACTATCGCGAATGCCCGTACCGAACTCGCCTGGGAATGTGACTACCTCCGCGAGGCCGAGTGTGGCGCCCGGTTCCGCCAGCTCCTCAAGGACGACCCAGTCTTCACCGTCCCCGAAGTCATGCCCGAAGCCTCCGGCAAGCAAGTCCTCACTATGGAAATGCTAGAAGGCGTGGCCGTTACCAAGATCCAAGACTTCACCCAAGAGCAACGCGACTGGATCGGTACACAGATCATGCGCCTGTGTCTACGTGAGATCGCCGAGTTCCGGTACATGCAGACTGACCCCAACTGGACCAACTTCTTATACAACGCACGCACAAACCGCCTCGAGTTGCTCGACTTTGGCGCCTCGCGCGAGTATCCGGAAGAGTTCATCAACAAGTACGTGCGCACGCTGGTTGCCGCATCTCGCAACGACCGTACCGCCTGCCACGATCTCTCCGTCGAGCTGGGCTACCTCACTGGCATGGAGTCTCAAGCTATGGCCGACGCACACGTCTCGTCCATCGTCACCATCGCAGAGCCCTTCATGCTCTCCTCGCCGGACTTGTATGACTTCCGGAATCAGACAATCACGGATCGCGTGCGTGCCCTGATCCCGTTGATGATTCGGGAGCGGTTGGCGCCCCCGCCCGAAGAGACGTACTCGCTGCATCGCAAGTTGAGTGGTGCGTTCTTGCTGTGTGCTCGGTTGGGTAGTCGGGTACCTTGTAAGGAGCTTTTTGCCGAGGCTGTTCGCAAGGCGGAGGCGAATGGGTTGGGTTTGGAGGAGAAGAAATAGAGCTGTATAAAAAGGAGGCTTGTATTATTTGGCTATGTATCATAGAATTGTACCATATAGCGTGTAACATTACTCTAAATCATGGGACTTCACCCCTCTCTTGACCTGTATCTGATGGCCCTGCTAGCAGTACACTCAGTTGACTCTCGACTTTCTTAGTCTTAGTCTTGGAAGCGGATGTGATTATAGAAATGGCGAAGCCCTTCATATGACCATGAGCATGATCTTTCTAAGCCTTGAGATACATGATACAGGGGTATTTTCTAACAAAACGAAAGCAAATACCGAGAAGACACATAATAGTGAATCTCCAAAAGAAAAAAATGAACTACCCCGATTCCAGATCATGCATATATCAACGTCACTCCTCATATCAACCACTCCTCAGCATCCACATCCTCATCACCTTCCTCCTCAAAACTCCGCAGCTCAGAAAGCCGCGAAATCAACGCGGACGAGAGAGGCTGGTTCTCTAAACGCATCACCTGCTGCCGCGAGCTAGTCCTCTCCACTCGCCTTTTCCTCTGCGTCCGCCCCGCATGCAAAGAAGCCTTAAACCTCTCCGAGCGGAGTTCCGGGTGAACGGTGCGTAGCATAGAGGCCCGGACATTCTCGTAGCTTTGGAATCGGGCATCTTCTCCGAGGCCGATGGCCGTGACGTCACTCGTACAAGCCTCGGTATCGCTTCCTTCGATAGCAACGCCACTCATGGCTGGAGGGGAGAATACACGGAGACCGGCCGGTAAGGATATCGTCGTGTCGTCTAGGTTGTGGTACACGTCAAGGGTATTGATATTTGAGGCTTGCACTGCGCGCTGGGCTGAGGTCTGTGTGGTGGAGAGCTGGTTCAGTTGAGCCTGTAGCATTGTGTTTTGGAGGACCATGCCATTGAAATGTAGCTGCTGTAGTGGATTCAAGGAGCTGTAGAGTGGGTAGTTTGGGTTGTAGTTCCCAAATTGAGGGTATCCGCCCTGGTTGGGGTTATCATTCGACGGGAGGGGGGTTTCGACCGGGTAGTCGATCTGTGTGTCCTTGTATTAGCCTCTCTTCCTTTGAATATGACCTTCATCCTCCTCTTGAATTCACGTCATTTGGTACAGTGATCCTTACCTGGCGACTGAACTTACGCCCTGGCATAGCGATGTACTCATCAAATGAGCTCTCCAGGGCAGCAAAATTGAACCCACGAGCTTCGTCCGTAGGCTCAAAGCGCTGACCGACCTCACTGTTGAAATTGACGCCACGCCGCGGCAGCGGCTGATACTGACTAAATGATAGAAGCCAGCTTGGATAGCTGCCCACTAGAGCCTGGATGACTGGCTCAACTTCAAGCGTCAGCGTGAGCTGACTGTCGGCGGTGGGCTTTTGGACGAGCATGACAAAAGTAAACTCGCGCGGGAGACCAGAGCGCTGCAGGTTGTTCTCCTCTAGTGACCAGAATATCTCACCGGCCTGGACATCGTATTGAGGACCGCGGGGGCTTTTGAGCGTGCGAGCGGAGCCTTGAATGCGCATCATCTCGTACCGTCGGTACCGGGCGCTGGAGCTACCAGAGGGAATTAGGCTGGCGCTGACGGGTGTCTCTGAAACTCCCAAGGACCCGGCCACACTGAATGTCCATTCCATAGTCTCTGGAGAGATATGGCCATAGATCAAATGTGGAGCGTGCATGAGAAAGCGCGGGTTGCCGGGAGGAAAGCCATGAGGATACTGGGGAGATTTGGAGATCTCATGACTACCACAAATAGCGACTTTGATGGTAGCAGATTTAAATCGGTGTTCAAGCGTGTGCGGAGCGTGAAAGACAAAGCCGATTGCAAGGAAATCGACATGCTCTGCATCTTTGTCAGAGACCGCTTGACTAGCGTAGAAGCCGTGCTGGAGTCGTGCGACGTGTGCAGTGATAAATGCATCACCAGGTAGTCGGCGCTCGTAGATACAGGCGCGATTGACAAGTAAACGAGGGTTGGATATGTTGGGATCGAGCAAGGTAGGGGTTTTCAGCTTGTTGTTAGGGTTTGGCAGTGAAGGTTCAGGTGGTTCAAGTTCGGATGAACAAGGTCGTTGAGGAAGTTTGGATGGTTGAGTTGATCGAGGTAGGCCATTTCTGGCCGGTCGTGGAGCCCCCATCGTGGGCAAGTAACGATTGTAGGACGACAACACCGCTGTCCCGTGATAGATATTGGCGATTGCTCTCCATTAGGCCGCCTTTGAAGCTCAGTTGAAGGCCAGCTTTACTAGCTGAATAGCTGTTGAGTATTTGAAGAGTCATCCTTCTCAGACGGTTGATAATAAACTATAGATCTGCCGAAACCTCGGGATGATGTAGGCTATCAGGCGGGATGTCATGTGTGTGGTTCCGTCAGCTGAGTAAGTGATGGTGGATGATCTCTATGACCAATTTTACTATTTATAAGCTCCATAACGGTGTTCCCACTGGAATTTCCCTAAATAGTAATAGGACCTCTTTGATCGATAGTAGGTGAAAGAATGATTATCATGATGTAGAAGATGATCGACGCTTATTGCAGGCTGGGGTCGGAACCGGATTAATGAATGATCCGAGCCCACCGTTGAAATCCGCCGAGGCTCTGTCAACTTCTCCATCATCAGGTCGGTCTAACTGGGGTACGGCTTCTACTGCATGAATATCCCCGGAAGACGATCTGTTGCTGCGGAAGATGTGCGTATGACCAATTGAGCTACATGAAGCTCGGATCCGGAACGGCCGTGAAAACCAACTAACATGTGCTGGTAGCCCTTCGTCCTCTGTACTATATCGTGCTGGATGTTAATTGCAGTTGTGCTTTGAATTAGCAGACTTCGCTATATTATATCGCTCATTATCTGTTGAATTGGTGCATTTCAAAGTCTTTTGATTGTGCGACCACATTCGACTCATCTGGAGGTTCAACCGGGCTCCGCTGGCTACACGCTCATCCGTCATCCTGAAGCTTGCCTCCTGTTCCCTCATTTGTGATTTAATTCTTGACCTACCGGGCCTTGCGCACGTCCTATTTTTGGGCTTCATCTTCTCTTTTATTTTTTTACATCGCCATGCTTTCTGCAGGCATGACACGCTTGCTGCACCCTTCACGGGCTAGGTTTGGTCTTGGCTTGTTGTGCAACTCTGCCGTTTACCAGCCACATGGGCAGCTGTACCATGGATATTCAGTCCACTCTCGATCCGTGTCTGCGTTGGCTGTGTGGCCTACCCTAGATCGTTCATCGATCCAGTTAGCTACCTTGAATCTTCCTATCGGATCATTGCCTGACATCGCATCACAGAATTTCAAAATCTGGGAGCCGCCTCGCTTCATTTTCAAGAACTTCGATTCGGACCCAAAAACGATGGTCAACCTCACAAACCCCGGGCGACCCAAAAAGCCAGGTCCCGGAAGAGTATGTTTATTGCCCGCTTCCTGGTCATGATGGCCCAACGTTGTCTGACAAGAAATCAGATCTAAATCTGCCGCGAAGCGCATTCTCTCCAAGATACCCATGGGAAAAGGAAGCCATGAGAACATCTATACCATCCCTAATATCCTTACCTTCTCTCGGCTGGTAGCGGCCCCCGTTGTGGGATATTTGCTGGTTCACGACTATCATGCGGCCGCACTGTCGCTCTTCGCGTATGCGGGTATTACCGATCTAGTCGATGGCTGGATTGCCCGAAAGTACAACCTGCAGACGGTCGTGGGAACCATCATTGACCCGATGGCCGACAAGCTTCTCATGACGATTGGAGTGGCCTGTTTGGCCGTGAACGGCTCTCTTCCAGGTAAGTGATGGTATATGAGGCTTGCTGTGCCTACCGTTGTCTCTCTCATTATATCCTAACATGTTCACAGTGTGGCTGGCCGTCATTATTCTCGGTCGCGACGTTGGCCTGGCTATCTCGGCCATCTATTATCGCTGGATCTCACTCCCCCCGCCAAAAACCATGGCTCGCTACTGGGATTTCTCGCTCCCCTCTGCTGAAGTGAAGCCCACCGAGATTTCCAAGATTAACACTGCCCTACAATTGGTCCTGGTCGGGACTGCGATCGGCCTGCCCGTGGTGCCGGAGGCGATTATTAGTGCGTGGCATTTGAGTGAGGCCATGACTGGATTCCAGTACGTTTTACCCCTTTCCATGTTGAATTTTCATTGCCCCAATTTTGCACTTGTTTTTTGAGGACGTGTGGTGTGTAGGGTCGCGGTTTAAACCAGTTCCCACCGCAAATACGCACATACGACCATAGGGTGTGGAGAACAGGGCTTCCCGTCCGCTCAGCCGTACTTAAGCCACACGCCGGCCAGTTAGTAGTATGGTGGGTGACCACATGCGAATCCTGGCTGTTGTATGTTTTTTTTTTTTTTTTTTTTTTGGGTCTGTTTATTTTTGCTTCCGGTTCATTTTGATGTCTTTCGACCATTGCTCTCGTTTTTTACTTTTTTAATCTGGTATGGTCGCGCTGACTTGGTTCCTCTAGGTATCTAGTTGCGGCTACCACCATCTGGTCGGGCATGAGCTACGTCTTCTCCAACAACGCGGTTAAGATCTTGACCAAGGAGGAGATTCAAAAGCGTATCGCTCAGGCTGAAGCGAAGCGTAAGCATTGAGTTCAGTCCGTAAAGCCATCAGTACCTTGTTGGCTATGTACAGTACAAACATTGCATCTGGGCGCTTTAGCTTTTTCATAGCATGTTTCTCTTGCATTCCTTTGTATTCAAAGATCGATTTCCAATACTACAACCTTACGTATAGGGAGCATACATCAAGCCCTTGAATAAATCAAAGGCGCCCAGGAAATAAAGTCCTGGTGTTTCGTCAAGAAGCTCGCTTCAAAGGTAGGCGACCCCTGCCGAATTCTATCATTCCTATCATGATCCACAGACGCAAGATCTCTTGCTCATTAGCAGCAGATTCTCTTTCCCCCTAGATGAGAACGCCGATAACTATGTGCTCGATCAACAAGATATTTCCTGGAGAGCTTCCTTAGAAAAGAAAAAATACAAGGGCCATCTTGCTGGAGAAAGTGTACCAAGTGACTGAGATGATATCTTTCTTTTAGCTTAGAAGGATCAGCCTCATACGGACTGACCCACCAGAAACATGAAACTAGTTAACTACGGATTGTTCGAAATAGCCAAGAAATAAGTTGAAGCGGCCAGAACAAGGGACCACGGATGGCATCGAATAACATTATTCCACGTTTGTAGGCTAGTGAGGATCACAAATGATTAGCGCGCATCCCCAGCGCTAGCCAATTCTGCTTCCTGACGTTCCGCTGCATGTCGAAGGCTACAGTCTACATAAAGGATAGATGGTCCTTGCCCCTCAGAAGCCCCTCTTCCTCCCCGAATCACTGCAAATCATCCGCAACGTAGTATTCCGCGACAAGTCTCACTTCTTATACCCCAATATTTAAATCCACTCTCAGTTTTAGTCGTGAGTGACCAATATTATCTTATTCGGAAAACTTTTCGTCATATTCGCTTCACGCGTCTGAAGTATTCGCTGAGCTATTGTGTCGTTGGCTGTTAGCGCCAAAAGGGCTTCGAAGGTGTGGGGTACGCACCCTTCCCTTGACCTTGGCGAAATCAACAGACTGTATGTAGAATCCACTATGCCTCGTGAGGACGATACCGAACAGAAAAATGCAGCTGGGCAGGCAGCGGCAGCTAAGGCAGCCGAGGAGAAGCGAAAACGCGAGGACCGGGCGGCTGTAACTAAGGGGCTCGCGGATCAAAGCACAATGAAACAGCTGTCATCTTCAGGGTATGAGGCCAAGTCTCGAAGACAGAAAGAGCAGGGCATATGACTGCTCTTCCAACATAATCAATGACACCGCGAATATGGCATTTTCATGTGTCAGATGCTCGCTCATTGCCTGAATGTTACTATAACGAGACCATTATTTCCCTGCTGAGTAACATCCGTCCATTCTGCAGCTTTGTATATGCTTCATTTTATGCTTCCGTCATTCTTTTCTGATGACCGTAACTCCAGTGTAGGGGTGTGTATGTGTGTGAAATCATATACCCTGAACCCTCGCGAGCCAACCACTAAATAGATTCGTGCCGCTCCCATTGTCAGGCTACACTTGCGTCGCGCAACTGCGAAACCGTCGAGATGACTCGGCGAAGTCCAGCAGGCAGGTGGAGACCTGGAGCCGGATATAGTTACTACATATCCGGCAAATTTAGTCACTACATATCCGGCAAATTTAGTCATGTGTTATAGTCCATCCACATCACGAGCAAGAGGCCTTTTTGTAATTCAGATCTCAGATTCATCTCATTGGTGCAACCGTGAGATTCACTTCGCTACGTTCCACAGATGGATCACCACCGAGAAGGGCCTGGGGCTCCATATCTGGGGAAACCCGAAGGATCCCTTGATGGCTCAACAAATTGCGAAAAGATGCACGTTGACATGATACCTCGCAGCCAAGGCATTTAATGATTGCAACCACCACAGAGTTTAGAGAAACGCCGACCGTATATTGCTAGGTACAGACGAACAATCTCAATGTCCAAAACCCCGTCTTTAAAGATCATCAGCGGCCTCCTCAAAACGTTTACATAGCAATTTCTCATACTCCTCTTTATCTCGAAGCTTGGCAGCTATCACTTTCTCCGTGTCGGCGGCCCAATAGTCTGAGACGACTCGCGGGAAATCCGAGTCAACATCATGAGCGGACACAAAAATGGGATGAATATGCTGATGGAATAGATTAAATAGCCCTTTCGGATTATCCAACGCCTGGAAGTACCAGAAACTGCCAATTTGCCAACCTCGTTTCATAAGATTTGTCCGGTACGAACAACTGTGGTTTATCGGAGGAAATAACTTCTCCTCTTCCTCAAAAATATCCACAAATTCTTCATGAGCCCTTTTGAAGGCGTCGAGGTGATCGCCTGTCAGGTCGTCTAAAGAGCGACCCGTCAACCAATGTGGAGGACGTAAGGTTTCAGCCGGTAGCGAACAGGCCCACTCCAGATCAACCACCCATTTGACATGCCAGTCCCTATCAACGAAGATATTGCTTGGATGGGGATCCGTGAGTCGGTATAGGAAAGGACCGTGGCGAAGCTCTCTGCTAGCGAAATGTGGTAGAAGCGCTCGCATAATAGTTACTCGTGCCATCTGGGCCCGGCCATCATCCTCATCGCTCAGCGAGTTCGGTTGATATCGTATACGGTTATCGTGACAAGACAAAAGATCAAGATAGTATGCATCCGCAGTTGAGTAAGTTAAGCTTCGAGAGATGTTAGTAGGAATTCGTCCATTTTCCAACTGATGAAGTCGAAGAGTGAGAGGACGGTTAGAAAGTCGCAAAATCCCATCTTCGTCTAGCGTCCATGATCCTATGCGAGGCAGTGGTGTCCGGCTCAAAGAGAGCATGATCCGAGATAGACCCCTAAACAGGTTGGTTCTTTTGTTTTGATCATGTCGGTCTTCATCCCAGGTCTCCGATAGCATCTGCACCCCTGGGTTGCCAACGTAGTCCATAACTAAGTATCCATATTCTAGCATAGTTTGACGGTGATGGCGCACGTAACGACAAGGGAGGGTAGAACCAATGAGCCAGGATATGCAACATTTGAGAAACCAGACGACCCTCGTTCTCAAAGGGACATGCTCGGGCTTCGTAAACTACATAAGTCTGCGTTAGTCTCGCTGTAGCTCCTGTTATGCAAATCTATCTTCACATACGCTCTGGCCACCAACAAGACCAAATCCCCACAGCCGAGGGATTGAGATCTCGGGACAGTGCTCTTGCATCCAAATGAAAGTCGCAGCTTCACACCGAAGTTTTTCGTCCACATTGCCGGGCATCTTCGATTCCCCTACCTTATACGGTAAGGGAAACCTAATGAGTGCACACCTTTCCGGCCGCTGGTTTCGTCTGCTGACATAGAGAGGAATGCAGACATTGAAACTGCCGTGTATCCATTCATTTACCTCTGCGAGCTGACAAGTATCAGAGGCAGATAAACCAAGGTGATATGACGCAATTTCCGCGATATCTGCTCTGCTGCTGTAAAGGGACACAAAGAAGTCTATCCGTTGCTCTGGATAATCTAGGTCAAGGAGCATGTCTTCCTCTTGCTCCACGGCGGACTGGAAGGTAGTGGTACCCCGAAGCAATGGAAGGGTGGCCCTTTGAGGGGCCATCGCAATGCCGGAATATAAGTAGACAGCTAAGATGTTCAACGAATACAATTTAATCGGTTGAAACTTTCAGGCGATCTGGTTTGGTGTTTCGGTGCATGTTTGGTCCAGGAATCCAATTTCCTCGGTCCACACCCCTGGGAAAGGCGGTAGACCCGACCATTTACCTACCGCCTGCTGAGTTCAGCAACTGGCGTGACATTTGCTTCAACATGCACGGGGGGATCTGCAGCAGGGAGGACAAAGAATTTTCTCCGGCTTCGCTATAGTACCAGTGTCAAGGACCGAGGATCTGGAAGTCTCAGGCGAGGTCGGAGTGAGAAGGGTTACTTGTCCTGCACCTGCGACCGTGGCTCCGCACGTGACATGTGGTCTACTCTGTCGGTCACGAATGGCGAGGAGAAAGAAGTCTGATCTACCAGGTAAAGGGCTATGTTCGCGGGTTGGAACTCGCGTTTTGCAGTTCGCAGTAGTAATTCGTCGCCGGGAGTACTCAGGGCCTTTGCCTTAGCCGGTCCCAGCAGATTCCCGCTCTGCCACCATTCCACCTGCTCTTCAATTGGTCTTTTACTTGTTCTTACTCCTTGTCTTCCCCTGCTTTTCGATCACAGATCATGCTCTCAGGTTGAGTTCTAAGCCTTGCTTTGAGTTACTGCGCTCATAATAATCTCGTCATCATATACCTTCGGGGGCCAGCCGATCCATATCTTTAGGTGACGGGGATATGGCCGTAGTAGACCCCGAACCCATACCCAGCACCTTGGCTAGTACCGGAGCCGTCTGTGAAGACCGTTTTTCGAAGTGGCGCTGGTCCGTGTGCTTTCTCGTCACCGCGTGTGGTGGGCAGCATACGGAGCGGTGGGAGGTATGGCTCCACGCATGCCCTCCCCGGCGCCGGCGTGGGAGTGCGTTGGAGGATCCTGGTGAGCCTAGTATTGTGAGTGTTGATAGTAACTCTCGCGATCGAGGGCCTAGTGATAGTTGGGACGAATTCCATCGGGACCGAGCTGAAAATTCTACACCAATTTAGATGGTCATGTAGTAGAATAGCGAATTAGAATCCGTAGCAATATATTTGGGCCGCAGGAAGCAAAAAGTTGGGTTGGTAGGCCGCGTAACAACACCACTGATTGTTCGCAGTACATTGGATATCTCTATTTCTCTGTCTGTTCTTCAAGGGTCATGCTTGTTGGATGCCCTATATATGCAGAAGCACGGTTTTGCTCACACGTGCGCTACAATGGAGGTCAGTGTGATGGGTCAAGCCAACGTGAATGCGTGCAGAATGATATTGGCTCTTCGATGCTGGTGGGTCTGTTGCGCGCTAGATAACTCGGCAGTTCACAAAGGGGCCTAGACCGAGATTACTCAGGCATCTAGCATGTGCGGTCTTATGTCTTCTTACATAGCTAGATAAGCAAAACACAAAAGTAGACTTCGATTCGACAATCTGGGCAATGTGATTCCGAATATATAATTTTTAATCAAGCTTAAATGACAACATTTGAGCAATCGAAGAACGGGATCTGTTAGTTGGGCATCGGGGCGAGATCATCGGCCGCGATCAGATGCTGAACGGTGTGGATATGTGGTTGGGCGTTCATGCAGAGCCGAAGTTAGATCGGAGAGATCTTTGGCCCCTAAGTTTCGGATCGCCTTCCTAGGAAGTAGAAGCAGCCAGAAGTCTCCGAAGCGGGCTTGAATCAGCTCGGCGCGCGCGGGGTCCCGAAGCGGGTGGCGCATTACTCGCGCATACATCATCCTAGGGTCCGTAGGAGATTTTCGGCGGAATTTAAGACTCCGGGATGGATGTATCCATTCGCTTTTGTCAGCAAACTGAGCTGCCTACAACATGCGCAATTTATGATACTCTGTAAGCGAGGAATCTGGTAGAACCAGCAGATCCACCCCCTTTTGAATGTCATCAAACCACCGGAGTATAGTACAGTACAAAGGGATCGATAGGAATTCGATATTCCGCCGACAAGATAATCTTTAATTTCTTTTGCGGCGAGCTGATTTGCTGACGGGATGATCGGCTAAACGCCGGGTCTAGCATTCTAACTCCGTTGGAAAAAATCTGCTGCGGGCTGGTCCGCCCAGGCTCTGGATGAAAAAATTGACTTTGTCCCATTTGTTCACCATGAATCACCTTGAGTCATGGTGATCCACTCGAGCTTCTCGTTTCGTTCTGCAATGGACCCGCGCTGGGGTCCACTGGGGCCCATCAACGGCTATGATTGATGCATTCCTGTCCCCTATTGACGTTGACTGACAAATCCGTCGGAGATAATGGCGTTTGCGTAAGCAGTCTGCTTTGTCGCTGGATTATACTCCGTACAGCAGCCAAGTCTAAATGGGTAAAAGGTGCCTCTCTCGCACTTCTCTTTTTCATGGTTCTTCGTGACCTCATACTCTCTCCTCTCTTTTCCACAATTTCTTTTGCCAATTCATTTCCTTTCCTATTCTACTTTCTTTGATCGGTGATTCTCTGTATATACACCTCTCTAATATCACACACTCCCATCTATCTAAGATCCTTACCACGTGAGCATTGAGCCTGGCGAGTGGACACTCCCCATTATCAGGCGAGATGGACGCCAACCATCAAGCCACGGAGGCGCACGAGTCCCGCAACCAAACCACGGAGTATACCACCTACTCCTCACACACCACTGAGGCTTCCGAATCGTCCAGCCATGCGAACAATGCAATTGCCGAGGATGCCCACGAGCCCACTTTCGAAGCGATCAACAACCCGACCGCGGCTCCTATCGACCCAGTCTCCACGACCTCCTCGACCGCATCTCATGCAAGTGACGAGGGCCGTTGGGGCGAGAAGGATGCAGGCGAGCCCGTCTCTCGCCGCGGTGCGATGGAAGATTTGGAGGAGATGCGCCGTGAATTGACTCGCCTGAGCTTGCATCGTACTCGTTCAACTACCGCTAAGAGTGTGCGCCGTCTCAAATCCCGTGCTAGTCGCAAGGATGAGGAGAAAGGCGAGGCTGATGTGGAGGCCGATGGTGCCTTTGATCTGGGTGAGTTCTTGATGGGTGGCCACCTTGAGCGCCGTACCACTGCCGGTGAGCCTGCCAAGAAGGTCGGTGTCGTTTTCAAGAACCTTACTGTGAAGGGCGTGGAGACCGGCGCATCGTTCGTGCGAACTCTGCCTCATGCCGTGGTGGGAACTTTCGGCCCGGATTTGTATAACGTCATTTGCCGGTTCGTGCCGCAGCTGCGGTTCGGCAAGAAACCCCCAATTCGCGAATTGATCCATGACTTCAGTGGTGCGGTGCGAGAAGGCGAGATGATGCTCGTCCTGGGCCGTCCTGGTGCTGGCTGTACTACCTTCCTCAAAGCCATTGCGAACGACCGTAGTGCCTTCGCCGCTGTGGAGGGCGAGGTTAGCTATGGTGGTCTCTCGGCGGAGGATCAGCACAAGTACTTCCGTGGCGAAGTCAACTACAATCCCGAGGACGATCAGCATTTCCCTTCGCTCACGGTCTGGCAGACGCTCAAATTCTCCCTCGCCACCAAGACTCGCAAGCATGACCGCGATAGCATTCCCGTCATTATTGATGCTCTGCTCAAGATGTTCGGTATTAGCCATACCAAGAACACGCTGGTCGGTAACGAGTACGTTCGTGGTGTGTCTGGTGGTGAGCGGAAGCGTGTCAGTATTGCCGAGACCTTGGCTACCAAGTCGACGGTTGTTTGCTGGGATAATTCGACTCGTGGTCTGGATGCCAGCACTGCCTTGGACTATGCCAAGTCGTTGCGTATCATGACCGACGTCAGCAAGCGGACCACCCTGGTGACTCTGTACCAGGCCGGAGAGAGCATCTACGAGCTCATGGATAAGGTTCTGGTCATTGACCAGGGCCGCATGCTCTACCAGGGTCCTGCCATCGAGGCCCGTCAGTACTTCATCGACCTCGGATTCCACTGCCCAGCGCAGTCCACCACGGCTGATTTCCTGACTTCTCTGTGTGATCCGAATGCCCGTCAATTCCAACCCGGCCGCGAATCTTCGACCCCCAAGACTGCCGAGGAACTCGAGCAGGTCTTCAAGAACAGCAAGGCTTACCAGTATATCAGGAACGACGTCTCCAGCTATGAGAAGCGCCTCCAAGAGACCGAGCAGCAGGACACCCGTACCTTCCAGAAGACGGTCGCCCAGTCCAAGTCCAAGACCGTCTCCAAGAAATCGCCGTATACCGTCTCTCTGGTGCGCCAGGTTGCGGCTTGCGTCAAGCGTGAGTTCTGGTTGCTCTGGGGTGACAAGACCTCGCTCTACACCAAGTACTTCATCATCATTTCCAACGGTCTTATCGTCTCATCTCTTTTCTACGGCGAATCGCTCGATACCAGCGGTGCTTTCTCTCGCGGTGGTGCCCTGTTCTTCTCGATTCTGTTCCTGGGCTGGCTTCAATTGACCGAGCTCATGCCCGCTGTCACAGGACGAGGTATTGTCGCTCGTCACAAGGACTATGCATTCTACCGGCCGTCTGCTGTTTCGATTGCCCGTGTGGTCGTTGATTTCCCGGCTATATTCGCCATGGTTGTTCCGTTTACGATTATTGTGTACTTCATGGCTGGTCTTGATGTCACGGCTTCGAAGTTCTTCATCTACTTCCTGTTCGTGTACACCACCACGTTCTGTATCACCTCGCTGTATCGGATGTTTGCCGCTCTTTCGCCAACCATCGATGACGCTGTGCGGTTTGCGGGTATTGCACTGAATCTGCTCATTCTCTATGTTGGCTATGTCATTCCCAAGCAGACTCTCATTAATGACTCCATCTGGTTTGGATGGCTCTTCTATGTCAACCCCCTCTCGTACAGTTACGAGGCCGTCTTGTCGAACGAGTTCTCTGACCGCACAATGCAGTGCGCGCCTTCTCAGTTGGTTCCCCGCGGGCCTGATGCCGTGGCCGGTTACCAAGGTTGTGCTTTGACTGGCTCTCCCCTTGGCCAGACAGTCGTCCCTGGTAGCCAGTACTTGCAGGTCAACTTCCAGTTCACCCGTCATCATCTGTGGCGCAACTTTGGTGTCGTCATCGCTTTCACTGTTCTCTACATTCTAGTCACCATCTGGGCCGCCGAGTTCCTCTCCTTCGTTGGTGGTGGTGGCGGTGCCCTGGTCTTCAAGAAGTCCAAGCGCGCGAAACAGGTCACCCAGCAGACTGCGAAGAACAACGACGAGGAGAAGGTCTCTGATTCTAATGGCAATGCTGCTCTTGCCCGTGGTGAAGCCCCTTCGTCCTCCGACAATGCATCTTTCAACCGTCTCTCTTCCAGCGAGCGCTGCTTCACCTGGTCCAACGTCGAGTATACCGTCCCCTACGGCAATGGAACTCGTAAGTTGCTGAATAATGTCAACGGATTTGCCAAGCCTGGTGTCATGATCGCCCTCATGGGTGCCTCTGGAGCCGGTAAGACTACCCTGCTCAACACCCTCGCTCAGCGCCAGAAGATGGGTGTTGTCAAGGGCGATATGCTCGTCGACGGCCACCCACTCGGTCCCGATTTCCAGCGTGGTACCGGCTTCTGCGAACAGATGGACTTGCACGACAACACTGCGACCATCCGTGAGGCCTTCGAGTTCTCCGCAATCCTTCGCCAGGACCGCAGTATCCCTCGTCAGGAGAAGATTGATTACGTCAACCGCATTATTGACCTGTTAGAGCTCGAGGACATCCAAGATGCCATCATCGGCTCTCTCAACGTCGAGCAGAAGAAGCGTGTCACTATCGGTGTCGAACTGGCCGCCAAACCCAGTCTCCTTCTCTTCCTTGACGAGCCCACTTCAGGTCTTGATAGTCAAGCCGCCTTCTCGATTGTCCGTTTCCTCAAGAAGCTCTCCCAGGCCGGTCAAGCCATCGTTTGCACCATTCACCAGCCTTCGTCCATGCTCATCCAGCAGTTTGACATGATCCTTGCCCTCAACCCCGGTGGAAACACTTTCTACTTCGGTCCCGTCGGCCATGATGGCGCCGCCGTCATCAAGTACTTCGCCGAACGAGGTTTCGTCTGCCCGCCGTCCAAGAACGTTGCCGAATTCATCCTTGAAACTGCCGCCAAAGCCACCGAGCGCAATGGCAAGCAAATCGATTGGAACGAGGAATGGCGCAACTCCGATGAGAACAAAGCAATGCTCGAGGAAATCGAACGTATCAAGACCGAACGCAGCAAAGTCCCCGTCGAAGAGTCTGGCTCGCAGTACGAATTCGCCGCTCCAACACCCGTCCAGATCCAGCTCGTGACCAAGCGCCTCTTCATCCAGTACTGGCGCGACCCCAGTTACTACTACAGCAAGCTCTTCGTCAGTGTTATCATCGGTATCTTCAACGGCTTCACCTTCTGGATGCTACCCAACACCGTGGCTTCCATGCAAAACCGCATGTTCTCCGTCTTCCTGATTATCCTAATCCCACCCATCATCCTAAATTCCGTCGTCCCTAAGTTCTACATCAACCGCGCTCTCTGGGAAGCCCGCGAGTACCCCTCCCGCATCTATGGCTGGGTCGCATTCGCCACCGCCAACGTCGTCTGCGAAATCCCTGCAGCCATCATCACCGGCCTCGTCTACTGGCTACTCTGGTACTACCCCGTCGGTCTGCCCACGGACTCATCCAGCGCAGGCTACGTCTTCCTCATGACGATGCTGTTCTTCCTCTTCCAGGCCTCATGGGGACAGTGGATCTGCGCGTTTGCGCCCTCGTTCACGGTTATCTCCAACGTGTTGCCCTTCTTCTTCGTCATGGTCAACTTGTTCAACGGTATTGTTCGCCCTTACGCAGCTTACCCGGTCTTCTGGAAGTACTGGATGTACTACGTCAACCCGGTGACCTGGTGGCTACGCGGCGTACTCTCGGCCGTCCTCCCGGATGTCCAGATCGAATGTGCAACCCTGGAAACCACCCGCTTCAACCCCCCGCCCGGAAAAACCTGTGCGCAGTACGCCGGTCACTTCGTGGACCAGGTTGCCAAGGCTGGATATCTGGTCAACGGGTCTGCGACCCAGGACTGCCAGTACTGCCCCTACAAGACGGGTGCAGAGTACATGGCTAATCTGAACGTGCACCGCAACGACAAGTGGCACTGCTTCGGTATCTTCTTGGCCTTTGTGATCATCAACTGGATGCTGGTGTACTTCTTCATCTACACTGTTCGTGTTCGGGGCTGGAGCTTTGGTTTGGGATATATCTTCGGTCTGGGTGGTGCCTTGATCGAGGGTGTTAAGGGTCTTTTCAAGAGGAAGAAGAATGATGCTCAGGAGTGATCTTGACTTTTTTCTTTTTTCCCTCAACTTTGACTTGTCCTTTTCTTCTTCTACTAAATTTTAGATCATACTTTCCTTCGTTGTTTTCCTTGGTTCTTTTCCTTGGTGCTTGTCATTGACATCTAATGCATTTACATGGAGCGTGTGTGCATGGCACATGGTGTGTCATCATGGCCTTTTTTGTATTTACTTTCTTTTCTCGCTATTATTTCTTTTATTGATGATGGTGCTGCTCAATGGCATCTAAAAGTACGTACTAATTTAGATTCAATCTAAAGAATTTGGATATGGAATCACGTGCTATGTTTTGCAACATTTCAAGTAGATCTCAGGGTTGTCTTAAGGGCCATATCAGATATTCGCACTTACTCATTCTTCGGGAACAGCACCAGAACAACACAGCCTGTGGTGAAGGGACCGTGTGGTTGTTTTGATGACTTTGAAAAGCGCTGTTTTACCTAGGATGAAATATCTTACTTCACTTCATTTAGAATTACGTGAGTGTAAGCTGGCTGGTAGCATAGCAAAGTGGGAATCCAGCGAGAATTCCCGAGTGATGATATAATCATTTTCACTTTCAAAGCTATCTTGTTGTTCTTTGTCTACTGAAGATTCCTGTGTACAAATTTAGTGCTATTCTCTATGTTTGTGCGTCATGCCATATGTAATGAAAGACAACAAGGGAGTCCATTTCCCACTGCGGACGCCAAACCCAGTTCCTGACAACGCCGGATAGTAACCAGAATCTTTGAAACCGAATAAACTTGAGAGCACGAGAAGAAAGTCATGCATGGTGCAACGCATGGTAAAGTTATCCACATGAAACAATTAGCCCTGGAAGAACCATGGAGCGCGACTCTCTGTCAAGTCTCCGCCGGGAAGCTTCATTGGAACAGGAACGGTATCCTGGAAGATCTGGGTTAGGAGCTGCTGTGGCTGGAGTTGGCTCTTAGGGGCAGCATCGATCGTGGCAGAGGTGGCATCACTTGCTTGGGAGTTAGCTCTGCCGCCAGGAGTGATAACGGGAACCAGCACGCCGCACTCCCAGTTACGGCAGTTCAGCTTGGGTTGGCCCGTAGTGCGATCTTTGACTAAGCGGCCCCTTTTTCAAGACGTTAGTAATTATCGGGATGACCGTGGGTTCAAATGTAGACTGACCAGGCACTCTCAGAGATGTTGGCACTGCCGACATAGGCCCAGCCCTTGCATTCGCTGCCGTCAGGCATTTGAATGGGCTCCGAAGGCCATACGTACATAATCTAAACTAACATTAGCATGCTTAGTCTGCTCAGAAAATGAACCACGCTTCGTACCTTGTTGTGCATCAAAACTCCTCGCTCACTCTCGCAGTCCTTCAGGATCCCCCGGGGGAATTTTGCGCCAAGCCACCAACGCGACGAGAAGCATACGGTCCCTGCTGTGTGTTCGGGATTCCTGTGCGCCTCGCGCACAGTCTGGTCCGAAGGGAAATACACGCTGAACCGATTCTGCCACTCTTGGCCCAGCTGGATCATTTTTCTACGCTGCGGATCATTGGTCTGGGCACTCGAATCTCGAGTATTGCGGAGCTTGTAATCCGTAAGACCATCATCACCTGAATCTGTTCAGCTCATTTCTGTGTTATATCTCCATAACTTGACTTACCTTTAGCCGCAAGATAAATGGCGCGAAGGAATTCATCAGTCAATGATCCAATGGAGGAAGCCTATTCGCATGTGAATTTTGAGATCCAAGTGGTCGTGAGGGGGTCAACCTACCACATAGGCAATGTTGATAGGTCCGGATGACTGCAAACCCAGCTGTGTCACAGCACGGCCGAGCCCGCAATATCCGGACCGTTTCCACGATTCGCCGGTTCGAGAGCCACCGCTGCAGCGACGTTAGCTGGCTATTTTTCGACCATCCGATTTGGAAGCTTACATAGTGTGAACGAACGCATAGCGGGCAGTCTTGCTGAAATCAAACTCATCAAGAGCTTGGATAGCGTCACTGCGCAAATTGGAAGCTTTCAAGAAGTAGATCAGCTCTTCTTTGAAAGATGTGTTGGATTCTTCAACCTTTACCCCGAGTTCAATTCTGGGAAGATCGATCAAAAAGATAGTCTGACCCTCTGGATTAGTAAATGAAGCTTGAATATGGAGGGAGCGATACTTGCATTCTCCATCAGACCATTCTCTCCCCAATCGGCTTGGGTGAGATTTGCGGTCGGAACTGCAACTCGCAGGTACCCAGGGTGGTAGAGAAGCATGAGTTTCGAATGCATGTTGTTGACTTGTGGCTCCATAGGCGGGAAGCATAAGTCCAGAGTACGCATTGATGCCGTCTCCTGGCGATACTGGCTGCGCTACTCCTATGTAAGCTGGGCTTCTAAAAGAAAAGACAAGAGAGGCTTGCTCACTGTAGCTTCCTCCTTTGCACCCATCATTAGAATGAATCGGGTCTTTTTAGTGTCGAATTTTGAGAAAAGCCATTCAATATCCCACATGAACGAACTCAGCACTGCGACTTTCAAGTCTGCCGGCTGCAAGACCTCCTCAATTGTAATATCCTTCCCGGTGCGGAGCTTTTTTGCGACGTGCGTCTTTTTAACAACTCCGAGGGCATATTGCATGAGCGGCTGAGCCGTCGGTTGGTCCCCGGGGTCGTTGGTGGCAGAGGCATTGTGGGCATGGGGAACCGAAGCCCTCTGTAGCAAAGAAGCTTGAGCAGATGAGAGAGGCCGATGATCGGTGATCTTGGAGGCCTTTGGAGCCGGCTGGCTAAGCGGAGGGGAGCTCTCAGCTTTGCGCTTTGCGAGGCGAGCAAGACGTTCCTGTTCCATCTGCTTTCGATCAATACCAAAGATTCCCTGCGGCTTGGAAACTGCGGGTTCAGCTGCCTCGGCGACTTTCGCTGGCTTCCCAGGAGACGCAGGTCCAGGAAACCCGGAAACCTCGACGCCATGTTGACTGTCTTCTAGGGACAGAGCAATTGCTTGCTTCAGATCGTCATCGCTGTAATAATCTTGCATTCCTCCAAGAGGTTCCTCGTCTGTCTCAGAGGAGATGACTGACTTGGACTTTGGGAAGATTTCCTTCACGTCCGAGTCTGAGTCCGAGTCGTTGGTAAGATCCACGACCTGACTGCCCGGTAGTGGGAACATCTGGGGTGAGCGCTTTGGCTGATTAGACATTTTTGAAGGGCTGGCAAATGAAGGGGAAGATTTCGAGGGGGACGTTGAAGCAGTTTGAGAGGCCTCATTCTTGCCATCGGACGGTGCAGACTGAGAAGAAGACTCGGGGTGCTGTTTGTGAAAGTCTCGCAGCGAGGCCGCGATCGCAGCTTCCAGCATTTCCTGCTCGCGTTCTGTTGGATCCATTTTGGAAGTATCAAGAATGGCAAGACTGGACAGTAACTGGGAAGGGAACAAAGAAGATGGGGTTAGGAGCTGCGCAGATATGCGATATCCAGCTATTCGGGCGTTGAGATGTTGACAAAGCCAAGATGCGGGTGACGACAGGTGAGTGAAGATAGGCCTCAGCTTCAAAGGCTGAGGTGGGTCGGGGCAAGATGAGGTTTACATGAGATTGAAAAAATATCCCGTGAGCCAATATTCGGTTGGTCTCCTAAGATACTTGCGCTTTCGATGATGCTCCCTGCTGATGGAATGGTCCCGATGCTCCACTCCACCCCTAACAGATACAGCACATAGTCACGTGACTATGATGTATACTGAAACCCTCCAAGCCTGTGTGCTTGAATGTCATGATAATATAATTGAGACAAACTTGAGTTACTAAGAATCATCTATTATGATAGCTTTCATTGATTCAAAGTGGCTTATCCATAACTCGCTCGTCGAGGGCGGCTTTGCAGTCTTGTTGCTCCTACAACCCTTCCACAAATTTGCGCTAGTACACGTTATCGGAAATTTGGATTCTCGCGGTCAGTAAAATCCTCGAATACCAATTCATGCAAGATAGTGGCTGGTTCCTGCCTCTTGGGACCATCCCTCACCATCATGATGATTCGTGTCAAGACCATCAGAGCAACATAAACCGCGTAAGCCACAATATCTGTCAAAAAGCCAGGCAGGTATGGGGGAGCATCTTTGCTCTGAAACATCCGGGGTGCAATGAGATTACCAACAGCCTAGACAACAGATATCATGGCCATTGTAATCTCTTTCTTTGTCTGGCCTGGCACATTGCGCGTAATCAGTGAGATAATCATGTTGCCCTCGGCCAGGAAGATCTGGGTGCAAAAAAGAGCTACGAGCATGCCACCTGCATCCGAAGCAGCTTGAGTGATGACGAGACTCGCAATTGTCTCAGCCAGAGCGGAGATTGTAGGTATCTATATCATCAATTAGATATTGAAAATTCATGGAAATGATCGATTAACGCCAATAATTAAAAATCGTGCGATATTTAGTCACTAGGCTTGAGCAAGACATCAAAGAATACCCACTTCCTGCCCAACTATGTGCGCATCCGTCTTGGTACCCATGATGGAGGCATATTTTAAGATACCCTTGTCGAGTGAGTGGAAGAATTAGATGATCACTTGGTTGACCAGATTGCGCCGAGTGATCTTCCGGAAGAGCCCGTCTGTCGTTCGAACATCGACCTCAAAGCCCAGATTCGCTGCGAGAGAATCAGCCTTTTCTTTCATATCTAAGTGATCAAATGCCGCATTGCCGTCGGAGAGTAACTCTTCATGATCTTTGGTCGTACCTGACTTGAAATTGACGGATAGTATTATACGACTACGTGATGAGACGTGAGAAGATGTGGCAAGTCATAATGAGCTGAATTGATGTCAAGTATTGCCCTCCATCGAGGTATTTGTAGCGCTGTTTTAATTGAATCTCCAGGTTTCGCACGGTGTAGCGTGTGTGGGTAAGCCGAAACTTTGTCCGCAAAACCCATGATTTGGATTCCTCGTGGCGCCGTAGGAGACACCGGCTATTCTTCCAGAGGCTGGTATGTATCCCTAAAACCATCCCTAAAACCATCTCTAGGAACTCTTCCTGCCTAGTATTTCTAAAAGCTTGAATTATGTTATATGCCTTTTTCCGGTCGGCTGACCTGTTCGGGTCTGGGCATCAGGCGATAACGGCCCTATACCCAAGCGGGTACGTTCAATGGCCTTCCTAAAACGGATAAAGGTTGAGTTTTCCTCTATTTCCCAAACACAGATAGAAATCGCGAGTTTCAATAGGTTAGACATACATCGCACAACCAATTCTCTCGATAAATACCTCGAGAAGTAGAAAAAGTGTCATAGTTAAAATACTACCCTGACAGCTAGTGGACACACACACGTTGAGAGTCGATTGTCTGATATCTCAATCCTTGTCTTAGTGGTTGTAAGGACCCAGACAGACTGTAGACTGCGGCAAACTCAAGATGAAAACAATCAACTGTCATGGAACACCGTATGAGGTAAGGTTTTTGCATGCTATCTCTTGTCTTAGCCTACCTTGTGAATTCATATTGATCTGCATCAGATGGGGAAGGCTCATGGAGTGGAAGCCCAAGGAATGATTCGTCGCAGTGTCTCGTTTTACCAGAAGATGTTTGCTCATACATGCAAAATGGAATGGAGCACCGTTCGTGGAATAGCCAAAGATTGGCGGAGTAAAATCGAGCGAAAGTGGCCGAGATACTATGAAGAGATGCAGGGTAAGCCAGGCGGCATTCCGTCTTTTTCAATCTTAAGCCATTGGCTACCATATCACTGATATATCATGAATCATGAAGGAATCTCGGACGGCGCCGGGCTGCCGTTTTCCGATATTTTAGCTCTCAATATTCGTACCGAGATTGCGTTTGGAATGTTCAATGATGGATGTACAAGCCTATATTGGAAGACTGAGAGCGATTCCTTTTTGGCTCAAAATTGGGATGTAAGTCTTGCTCAGCCTTGAGTGACTGGACTGCTATACTAAAGTTCAAAAAAGTGGATGGAAGAGCAGAAGCAGAACCTTGTCATCCTTGATATCACCCGAGACGACGGACCTCGAATCAAAATGGTTACCGAAGCTGGCATTATCGGAAAGATTGGACTCAATGAACTGGGCGTAGGCGTTTGTTTGAATGCCATTAAGGTGCCAGGGTGCGATTCTTCGCGCCTTCCGGTTCATCTTGCGCTTCGATCGGTCCTAGACAGTCCATCAGCCGACGAAGCTGTTCGGCGCCTGGAAGAGGCTGGAATAGCCGCTTCGGCGCATATTCTCATTGCAGATAAAGGAAAAGCCATCGGACTGGAGTCTACAGCGGACACAATCCGGCTTATAGAAATGGATGCTGAAAGTCGGATTTTCCACGCAAACCACTTGTTATTTCCACATGATGGTCCCGTGGAGGCTGGCTGGTTGGCCGATTCGCCTTCACGCCAGCAACGCATTCAGAGTCTAGCTTCGGGTCTGGGCTCATCTACGGGCCGACAGCCAGATTTAGCCGACATTACACGTATGTTGGATGACCATGACGGATATCCGCATTCAATATGCCGGTATGAGAAAGGCCCCTTGGGGATGGATGCCACGCTGTTCAGCATTGTTATGGAACTCCGGGGTAGAACTGCTCGGGTATCCCTGGGAAGACCATGTCAACCCGAAGAGATCATAGCACTGAATTTTGAATGATGAGCCAGTACATCTCCTATACACATCGAGCTTCGACTTCATATATCGACATCTCCTGTGAGACGTGCTTGCTGAAGCTTCAATAGGTACTCAAGTAGTCCTTGAACGATCCAAGAGTCGAATTTACTAAGAAAGAAGGAAGATATACAAATCTCATATTCCACTAAACCAGGAAAATGGCTATCCATAAGATCGTCGAGACGTTCTTCGGTACTGAAAACAGAATTTGATACTAACATTTATGTATTCTCGATACACATCACAGATGCCTAGACCTGACATTGAAAGTATGGAATATAACTTATGAAAAGACCAAACAAAGGCAGGACGAAGGAGGCTTAAGTCTCCAAGGAGCAGGGAGCACAGGTAAGCCACATGTAATTCTTCCTTTCAATCTTGCTGACGGTGGCGGCATCAAAATCAGACCGCATTCCTCCTCTCAGTCATCTAATTGAATGTCGTCCCGATACGCTGCCTGAATTTGGATCTCCACCAATGCCTCCGGTGGGAAGAGTGCATTGACACAAATAGCTGCCCACGCAGGCTTATTCTTTCCAAAGTATTTTCTAGCAATTTCGGCGATCTGCATTTGCTCTTCCCTCGACAAAACACCAACGTGGAAGGACGTGACATAAAACACTCCCTCCCACAGTTGTCGTGGATCCGTTATATGTGGAGACGCTGCCGCCAAAGCTCTCTCGATGTTGACCATTGATTTTTCAAATTGCTCCGCGTGAGTTCCCCACATCGGGTCATGGTTATCGGCAATTTGGCCAGAGGTGGCGACAATACGAGCATTTGCGGGAATGGAAACGGCTGCCGAGATGTTGAAAATGTTTCCCAGCTGCTCATAGCCCGGGAAATTGGATCCAGTCACGACTGACATTTTGAGATCTGTGGGTGCGAGAAATTGAGGAAAAGGTTGGAGAGTCTCGATAATGAACTTCAAGTTGTGTGTTGTTGAGTTACTTTGACTTTTTTTTGGCTTTGCCTTAAATAATATTGAACTAGTCAAAGGAATATAATGATGATCAGTGAATTTTGGGTATATAGAGATAGGACTTCAGTATAACGGCCATTCTCCTTTGGGTAGGTGGATGATATCAACTACAGAGTAAAAATATATCCGCACTCTCGTCCAAAAGAGACTGGATACAAAATAAGAGAATTGAGGATGTATCGGGAATACACTATAATAAGCATGGCCAATTGGCCACCGGCAGAGATACCTTGGTTCAATCGACCGTGAAAAGTCACGCGAGGCCAAAAAGTATGTCTGTGAGCTATTCCGAATTTGGCAAATAAATGAGATGCGGTATCGGGCTCGAGATCGAACCAAGCTTTCCCCGGTAATTTTTGAAGCTTCGATTAGAATTTAGGACTGGCCCAAAAGACCCATGGTCTAACTTTGGCCGTATGTTATGGCGATCTAAGGCACATATCATTCAACTCTCATTGGCAGAATTGAATCCCTATCAGACAGCAATTTGCGGGGAGCCGCCGAGTTTAATCCCATATCAACTTTTCATTCATATGGTATTTAAAGTACAATAACGATCTAGATAATGAACATGTTCTCCTGCCATTTCTAAATTTCCCACTATCTGCCTACCATCAAGATTTTTCCTCCGCGCTGGGTTGAGTTGCGATCACGATGGCTGACTATACAACTGATTCCATGTCCAAGCTACCAGAACAAGTTGACATCACCGGTGGTAAAGTTGAACATGGCAATACTCCCCTAAATCACGAGCCGAATGAACTTCCTCAACAGTTCTCACTTTTTTCCACTCTTGCATTCGGGTTTAGCATGACAAACTCCTGGCTCGGTTACTCTGCAACTTTCATTACTCCCCTACTGCTGGGTGGGAGTCCTACCGTATTTTTCGGTCTGATTGCTGCTTCGATCGCAAGCTGCTTCATCAGTAGGAGTTCCATCTCTGTATCTGGCCGTGAGCACCCTCTAACCACAAATTTCGTTTAGCGGCCGGTCTGGCCGAGCTCGCGTCAGCCTACCCCTCTAGCGGCGGACAGTATCATTTTGCCTATATGGTTACCCCTCCAAAGTACCGCGCTCTGGTGGCCTTCATTCTTGGATGGTTGAGTGTAGTAGCATGGGCCCTCACTAGTGCATCTACTGCCCTTGTCTGTGGTAGGTGGCCGTTGACCGAGTTAAGATGCTATTCATGTCCATTGACTCCTCGCAGCTCAGATGGTTGGAAACCTGGCAGGCATTTACCATCCAAGCTACATAGCAGAGGCATGGCAGACATGGATGATCTATTCTTCACTGATTCTGATTGCAACTGCAATCATCTATTACCTGCCAAGGGCACTCCCCCGAGGAGAAATGGTGATGTTTGTGAGCAGCTTTCTGGGATTTATCGTGAGCTTCGTCACTGTTTTAGCGATGCGAACAAATGGGCAGTCAGCAAAAGCGGTATTTATAGAATACGAGAATAACAGTGGTTGGGGCGACGGCACCTCCTTCATCATCGGGCTTGGGACCTGTATGTATGCATATCTAGCTATCGATGGAGCGTGTCATATTGCAGAGGTAAATAAACCCCAATCGCAGATCCTCTCACTGGCTTGCTCACTCCGGGTTAACAGGAACTTCCTAACCCCGGTCGTGATATCCCTCGCGCTATGGGGCTAACTATGCTAATCGGTATCCTGACCGTTATCCCTTGGACAATTGCATTTCTTTTCTCTATCACGGACACAGATGCCGTCGCCTCCTCTTCGATTCCGGTGTTTACAATCTATTTGCAAGCCACGCGAAGTCAACCTGCGGCCACAGTACTCACTGTGTGGATTCTTTTTGTTTACTTCGGTGCCCTGGTCTCATGTATTGTGACGACTGGACGACTGGCATATGCCTTCGCGCGTGACGGAGGCCTTCCGTACTCGGAGTTCTTTGTCAAGATTCATCCCGCGCATCAATCCCCCAATAACGCCACAATGGGTTGTGCTGCCGTGGTCGTTGTTTACGGACTAATATACACCGGATCTGCAGCTGCTTTCAATAGCTTTATATCCATGTCCATCTTATCGCTCAACTTGACCTATGCTTTGCCTCAGGCTATTCTTTTGATCCGAGGGCGCGAGCGCGTCCTACCGAAACGCACCTTTGCCCTGGGTAGACACCTTGGGCCAATCTGCAACGCATTTTCGATCCTTTGGGTCCTTTTTATTACGATTATATTTTGCTTCCCAACATCTATTCCAACCACCGCCGCCAGCATGAATTATGTCAGCGTGATCATAGTTGGTATCTCAGTTTTGATCCTTGTGTCTTGGTGGACATGCAAAAGAAAAACATTCTTTGGACCGGTAAGGCCTTCTTGAGTCATGTTCACTAGCGTCTCATCTACTCTGCGTTTGAAAGCTTTAGAATGCTATGCTAATTACACCAGACTATTGAGATACAGGGGCTCGAGGTTGCGCTACAGCATCATGATGTTTCTTCAAGCACGTCACCAGCGAGGGGATCAGGTCGAGATTAGAAATCGCCCAAGCTTAGCTAAATCATTAGTATCTTGCGAGATTGAATCTAGTCCGATGTTGAAGCCATCATCTATTCACTCCCATTTTTGGCCCAGAAAATATGACACAATAGCCTGTAGTGCCACGAGGCTGTATACTATCTTTTGTGCGGCTAAACCATAATTGTGGGCTCTTTCCCCGCAATTCGGCTTTTGATGGGATGGCTCAAGAATGAGGTTTCTTGTCTACGTACGGAGTACCATAGTGAGCCATACATACAGATTCTAAAGTCTTTCAAGTGACTCTAGGAGTTATCTATCGAGAACATATCAGCGGTATTTTGTGTCACTACAACCACGGTAGCTACCTTCCTCTGAATTAGCTCGTTATCTTTGCCTATGGTAATTACGTAAAATATTTCGGAATACTATATGATTGTGTCTGTTTAGCATTTGGTATCTTTCCTTCGCTTTCTTAACCTACGCAGCTACGCAGACCCACTCTCATTCCCGATAGTGGGGCCAGCTCATTTGTTTACCATATTCGGTTAAGATCGACGCTATACTACCACGAGCTCATACTGGACTTACCATGGTCCATGGTCCTCTAATCGGGCTGCTCAAGTCAAAGCGGAATATTCAGCTCGTAAGCAGGCTAATGATAGATTATCTTCATAAGTGCAGATTTACCCAAAATAGTAACAATTTGATTCCATGTTGGGCGAATATTTTCTCCACGTTTTGTCTATCCCGTTGCCTGTCATGCCTCACGTAATGCAAATGACAGAAACGGCGCTTCCAGAATGGTGTCAGATTGTCTTTAAACTTTGTAGACTCAGTCAACCAATGCCATATTTATAAAGATGATGCTTGAAACACCCATCAGCTAGCTATCTTAAAGTTTTGACCAACGTCCAAAAACACGTCTTCGGTGCGAGCGCCGTTTCAAAAAGATGGAACTTCATTTGTACTACGGCATCGTCTTGCTCGGTACTATTGCAGCAATCTTCAAGTTCATCTTATATCCTGCCTTCTTCTCCCCCCTGGCCAAAGTACCCAATGCGCACTGGTCCTGCAGTTTCAGTCTTATCTGGATTTTCTGGATGAGATGGTCGAAGCAAGAGAACAGTCGGATATATGAGCTCCATCTAGCCAAGGGCCCTGTCATTCGACTTGCTCCGAACCTGCTCAGTGTAAACTCTTATGAAGATGGATTGAAGAAAATCTATCATGGGGGTTTCCCAAAACCAGATTTTTATTTCAATGGGTTCGCTGTATACGGGTATGAACAATTCGCACGGATTATGGAGAGATGCACCGGCTGATTTCAGCAACAGCACCGACAATCTATTCACGATCAAAGATAATCAGACGCATTCTGCGCAAAAGAAAGCCCTGTCAAGCTGCTTTACAAAGTCGTCGGTCATGTCATCTCAGACTGCCCGCGGTGCGACGCGAGACATATTATTCAATCGCGTCCTTCCCTTGGTCTACAAAGCCTCCACCGAAGATAAGCCAATCGAGGTGATGGATCTCACCTACTCCTACCTACTAGACACATTTGTCCAGTGGCAGTTTGGACGTTCTTTGGCCAGCAACACGGTTGAAGACGAGAAAGAAAGAAGATTCTACTTTGATGGCTTCCTCGGTGTGGCTGAATACACCTTCTGGCAATATCACTTTCCTCGCCTAGTCGCCATCTTCCAGAAATTTGGAATTCACATCATTCCAAAAAGTGTACTATCGGCTTTTGAAGATGTCGAGAGCTGGAATCTGGAGAAATGCGATCAGGCCCAGCAACTCTTGGCGGCTAGTGGGAAGCAGCTTTCAGTGGATGACCAGCCGGTCGCATTCGAACCAGCACTGAAAGGAATGAGCGAGGTCAACGCAAAGCCCAAAATGTACCCTCAGCGACTTCGCTTGGCAAGCGACATGTTCTCTTTGAATTCTGGAGCATTCGAGACTAGCGGAAATACCTCGACCTATATGCTCTACGAGTTGAGTCGACACCCAGATTGGCAGACCAAACTTCGTGAAGAATTGCTTGGTCTCAACCCGCCTTTGAAGCACATACCTGGAAAGCTTACTGAAGCCGGCGACATCACGAATCCTCAAGATATTGATAAGTTGTCAATACTTCAAGCCATTTTCATGGAAACCCTTCGGCTTTGGCCCTCGGTGCCGGGTGGTCAGCCCCGGGTAGTGCCTCGGCCTTCTACCCTGGGCGGCTACCATAATATCCCTGCCGGAACCATTGTGCAATCATACGCCTCTGTTCTTCACCGTATGCCAGACATTTTTCCGGAGCCTTTGAAATGGAAGCCGGAAAGGTGGCTCGATTCATCACCAGAACAGTTGGCTCTCATGAAAAAATGGTTCTGGGGATTCGGCAGTGGTGGAAGAATGTGTCTCGGAATTCACTTTGCTTATTATTGTGAGTCACCTGGTATTGGATACAATGAAACAATACTAACAGAGACTCCAGCAATTAAGTTCTTCTTTGCAGGCATTTATTCCAATTTCACTACGACGATTCACGACCATGGAGATATGGAGGCAAGCGACGGTTATCTTGCAGGTCCAAAAGGCCATCGGTTGGAACTCAAGTTTCACATTTTGGAATAATCCATGGCGTACGAGCAGATGATGAGAGATTATTGATGTTGCTAGAAATGCGAAAATTCCTACCTTGCTTTTCTTTAACCATGTAAACCACGACTAAGATCACAGTGCATACAGTACATTACCTTTGCATTTAAGTATTCATTTAGGATGGCATTAACGACACGACAGAAAAGTTCATGGCACGATAAGGCTAGCCCCAATGAGGAACGCCCCCCTTCAATACAGAATGCTACATTCAAGATTAACAAAATATCAGTAGAGTTCTTAAGTATGCATAAGCTTCCATCTTAGAAAAGACCTTAGAAAAGACCGGAAAAATAGTGATAGTAGGAAGGAGAGTAGAATGATAACTTAGTCTATTATAGGGATAAATAGATAGAGGTTGCGTATATAGTCGCTAAAGACATTCATAAGAAGTATTAATGTAAAATATACATAATGACTCAGTATGTATTTTGTGATTCGAATGTAGCATTTTGTATTGAAAGGGTGGGTTTCCTTGGTAGGACTAGCCTCGTCGTGCCATGAAATTTTCTGTTGTGTCGTTAATGTCAACCTTAAATTATCCTTGAAATCGAAAATGATGCAATTCATTGCGGTGTCTTGAGACATACGTTATATCAAAGATGCTTCTCAGTTTCAATCAACTCCACCATCGACCTGGAATCCCTCAATTCTCCCCTCTTTAAAATCCTTGACCATCTGCTCAAATGTACACCACTCCACCCCCTCATGCGAATTGATATACTCAATGAGCCTCTCGTGAAGCATAATCACCTGAGGCTTCCCACTGACCTGAGGATGAATCGATATCGGGAACACGAATGTGTCGTACTCTTGATAGAGATAATCAAATTGCGCTTTCCAGAGTCTCTCGATAACATCCGGATCCACGTATCCGTGGGAGGGGCCTTCCGTAAGTTGGAAAGGGGGCCAGTCATCCAAATGCCAGTTTGCAGGCACTTCGACAATCCTACTCGGCTTGAGCTTTCCCATGGGCTTCATCCACTCCCCGGCGGGTTTCGAGAGGTCGGTGGCTACTAGTTCGCCTGAGCTGTAGGGAACGTAGTAGAGTTGGGAATCATGGTGCATGAAAGAGTGGTCGTATTCCTGATCGATGAATTAGGTTACGAATTCCAGTTTCGTGTCATGTTGAACACTTTGCCTACCAGGCCAAACTCTTCCAACAATCTAATGCTGCGGCTTGATGTTCTCCAAGACGGTGCAGTCCATCCCTTCGGATGTTTTCCGGTGAGTGCAGTCACCACTTTGATTGATTTTGCAAGCACATCGCGCTCTTGCTGCTCCGTTAACATATCCACATGCTCGTGTGTATATCCATGCAGACCGCTGAATAATGTCAATTTACAGTGGTCATTATTCGATTACCGGGAAACGAAATACTTACATCTCATGTCCGGCATCGCGAATCTTTATCATCTGACCCGGGAATGACTCGATCGAATGAGCTGGGATAAACCATGAGGTCTTGATGTTGTATTTGTCCCATAACTTCAGTAGCCGGTTGATTCCCACAGTAGCACCGAAAATACCGCGCGATATATCGGTTAGGTCGGGTATATGGCCATCTTCGGTGTTGATCCTGTTTGATGTTTAGCCTCATATCTCATCTGAAGCATGGAAATCCGGCCTTACCAGCCACTCACTGCATCCACGTCGATGCCGTATCCTACAAGAACGCGCTTGACCATATTGTTGATTCGAGTTGATTGCCAAACCGGGTTCCAGAGAGCTATGGACTTAAATGGCCAGAGACTGACCCCATGATCAATGAAGCACAAGCGGGCAGATACAGGGAGGTAGATCCTGAAATATTATTGGTCAGCTCAGTGACCTTCCTAAAATGGACAAACGATAAGAAGCTCGTAGTCGCGCGTATAGTCAGATACTGTAGAAACCGAACCACGACACCAGAATCACATTATCAGAAATGTCTTACGTATTCAATGATGAGTAGAGATAGAAGTTGAGAAAGGGTTATCAACCACTATCACAACCAATAATAAAGGCATACTTTTGATCACTTTGATCGTAGGGTTCCAGTTTGAGGGGGCAAAATGGGACCCCCCTCTCCATGAATCGAACCCGCCACCTCTCGCTCTCTATATATTTCCCCAGAATGCTCCATCACCACCCCACGATGCCGAAGTACACACTTGGGAGGCAAGACCGACACCATGCACTATGGATATTTCCCATTATGGCTTCCTTTGGGTCTTGATTTATATAATAAGTTACTCTATTTATATTATGTACTATAAAAGCATCATATTACATATAGAGTTTTAAAAAGAAGAAGTTCCGCGAGTGAGGTGGTGGCACCTCACTCGCATCCCACCCGCCCACTCTCCCCGCCTAGGGATGTGCCCGGTCACCCGTGGAGATCATGCTCGACACGGGAGACCGGTACTGTTATTTCCCCTCATGGGGCACACCCGAATGGTCCATCCACTGAAGATATGTCCAACTAGGCCAACTAGGCCATGTGAGGGGGGAGAGTGACTGGAAAAACTGGAAGTGGGTGATAAACCTTCAAGCGCTTTGGATTGGGACCGTTGACTAGGGCATTATATCATACAAGTGCACGACGCGTCTTCTTAGAACAACCATAGCTGGTTGAGTGAATGCCGCCCTGCTAATACAATTGGATACAACAATTCGATTCTAAATTTCCCACTCCACCAATACAATCGTCGAGAACCACGAAAAGGAAGAGTGCCAGAGTTAAAAGCGTTAACTATAACTGCGATATCGCGGCTCCGGGGCTTCCCCGCTTTTCAACGGGAGATAACAACCAGCAAAACTCCCAGTGATTCCGGTCCAGAGGTCTGCGGCTTGATTTCTTCTTCACTTCCACCATGGCGAACGAGCGATTTTTTGGTAGGGCTTGCAAAACGTGTCGTCGTCGGGGACGAGGATGCGACCGACGCATGCCCACGTGCAACACCTGCGAGGCTAGTGGCCAGACATGCGAAGGTTACCAACTCCAATGGCCAGGCTTAGCTAGCCGCGGCCAATTGGTGGGCAAAAGCATTCCTATCGCGGAGACTACGAAGCGTCGACGAACGCGCCGAGTTCAACGATCGACCGTTCCAAGTTCACCTCCGCCAGTACTCCCACGTTCACCCAAAGAACCCGTCAACAATGATGAGCAGGCCGAGCCCCAGGAACCCCGGCTCGAGGATCTGCTGGATCCTGTGCAACTCTTCGCGGACATCGCCGATCTAGCGACACCGTCAAATCCCTTGATCTGGTCCAACGATATTTCATTGATGAACAACGTTTCCGGTGACCTTCTTGAGCCTCAACTAAATGCCGATGCGGAGTCTCCTTCATGGGACCATTCTGAGCAATTCGGAGGCTCCTTGGCGTTAAACCATATCCCGGAGCCCAGCCTTGACATTTTGGGAATCCCCGACGAACTCAAATTCATCATGCAGTACCGTCAGTTCCAAACGTCCATTCTACGCCTCGGCAAATCTGCTAACCACAGACTCCAGATATCTGTGAAGTTGTGCCAAAGTTATGCATCGACAACCTTTCTCCTCAAAATCCATATCGCGAGTATATCCTCCCTCTCGCCCACGAGGTTCCGTCATTACTTTACGCGTGTGCGGCGTTGGCAGCATGTCATTTCAACGTACGGCTCTCTACCAATCAATTCGAGCGCGAGTTTTTCCGATTCAAGGGTAAAGCGATGAAGCGATTGCAGGAGGATCTGTACTCACAGACTCGAGCGAAACATCCCGGGACGCTTGCCACGATACTCATGCTTTGCTTGTGTGATCTTTGTCATGGGGGAATATCGGATTTCCAATCACATTTCCAGGGAGCGAAGAGACTTATTGAGCTTCGTCAAGAAAGGACAATCGGTTGCTTTGTGGAACAATATCTAGCCTGGTAAGCGCGCCCTACCTAGCTTTTGCCTTTTTCAGACTAACGGTGATTCTTGGTTCAGGCTTGACGTGATGGCTGCTGCTTCGCATTGTCGACCCACGGTGTTTTCATTACAAGAGATCAGCACTATATTGGGGGAGTCACATGACCGGTGGGGGTTGGATGCAATACCTTGCCCATCAGATCAGTTCCAGATTGTTTGCGAGATCGTCGCGTTATTCAAGAGCCAACTCGATCCTGACAGCCCTTCAATCGAGACGCTGAGTCAAGTTCAAGACATCAAGCGAAGGCTGTTACAACGATCGACGCATTGCGACAAAGGTCAGAACTGGTTTCACATGACTGAAGCGTACCGGTTTGCGATTATACTTTATCTGCTAAGATTATTCTCCTGCGACATTGATGAGTTCGAGATCGATTGGCTGGTCAGCAGTGTACTTTATCATGCACGAGCTACACCACCCGCTTCCGGGTGGTCGGATCAGCTATTATGGCCCATATTTCATGCCGGTCTTGAATTGAAAGATTCTAGACGGCAAGAGTGGGTTCGAGAACGCGCCAGATGTATGCAAAGCTCCGGGGGATTTGGGAATGTACAAAGCGCCCTTGTCTTACTCGAGGGTGCTTGGAAGGGACAACGGCCAGTGAAGTATATCGATTTAATGTTGGGACGTGGAAGTGGAACTGTACTTTTAATCTGATACTATTCGAGGTCCTGTATACTAGTTTTCAATGCCGACAGGATTGTAAGAACTAAAGCTTGGCTTGCTGGTTCCGTGCCTTATGATTGGCAACCAGTTCCCTTGCACATCGCAGACCGATCAAGTATGCATTTATCTGGGTGTGATTGCTGTTCCGGAAGTTAGTGAGCGATGCGCCGAAAATGTGACTGAAATGACTTACCAAGTGAGAATAGGGCACACACTCAAGTCTGCTACACGTAGGTTTTTCATGCCCTTGACTCGGAAACGCCAGTCGACCACGGCATCTGGGTCACTAGCCTTGCCCATGCGACAGGTAGCCACGCTGTGGTAACCTTGGTCCAAATTCTTGCGAATGAAATCCAACATCACGTCGTCACTGACCGTGTCAAGGTCTGCCGTTGCGAAATCGATGTTGGGACCATGAACCATCCGCTCAATGGTACCTTGGTAGGCCTTGGTACGAGCAATCTTCAGCGCCATACGAACCGTTTCGATAGCAATCCGCCGGTCGAACGGATGATTCAGAAAGTTGGGGTTCACGATTAATGGGTCCCGTGGATTTTTGGAACGAATCATGACTGTTCCCTGGGATAGGTTGTTTTGCAGCAAGAGCTCGTGGGTCATGTAGCTCTCGCTTGGTCGATCATCCTGGAAGACGGACGGTCCTGATCCGAGCCAAATCTCAGCGGAGGGCCTGGTGGGCTCCATCAAGAAGGTTTTCTGCTTGATGCTGAGGTTAGAAAACTCCTCGGAATCGAAGAGACGTTGGATTCGAGGGAATGTCAAGGTACCACTCGATCCAAACATGGAGAGTGGTCCTGTGCGGTCCTTTGCGTATTGCGCCTCGGCGTTTGCAAGCAAGGACGGGTCGAGGAAGAGCTGATTGTGGGTATGGATGGAATTGTTCACTTTGTACTCGCAAGTGATTATGGAATGATCGAGCATGTGTTGGCCACAGCCTAGAGGGAATCAACAGTCTGTATGTTTACTTCGGAGTCTTCAATGCCGGTAGCATACCTGGCAAGTCAACTTGTACTGGAATGTCGAGTCGCTCCAAGTCATCTCTAGGCCCCAAACCGGACAACATGAGGATTCTGGGAGATCCGAACGTGCCAGCGCAGAGAACAGTCTGCTCGCGACAATAGACATGGACTTTCCCACGTCAGTTATGAATTATGAAGAGGATTTTAGAGACTCACCTCGTGCTCCAGTTTGTCTGTCATACAAGTCTACCCCAGTAGCGACTCCGTCCTTGCAGTGCACTCGATCGCACTCTGTGTCTGTCACTATGATCAGATTCTCCAGTGATGCCCGAGTTGATTCTCCCAAGAAAGCATTGGCTGCGTAGCATCTCTCTCCATTGCGAACGTTGAATTGAGCCAATCCCACGCCCACTGGGTTTCCCGAATTAATATCAGGGCACACTGAAATCCCATTTTCAAGACATGCTTGAACAAAAGTTTCGATTCCAGGGACCATTTCATCCCCAAAGCCGATCTTCAGCGGGCTATGATAGCCATGTCAGCGGTTGTGCAACGAGAGACACACATCCAGGCTTACCCTGAAATCCCATGGTCTTCATGCTGTGGAGCAGCAAACTTTTGCAGGTGTGCAGGTAACTTTGGGTCGAAATCCTCAAGCTGTTCTTGCCTGTTAGTACATTTCACCAGCAATTTCTCTCAAAAGATACGGACCTGTCTCATCAGGGGTAATATCCTGTCCCACTTCCACCCATGATCCCCAACAATCTTAGCCCACTCGTCATAATCAGCCGCTGGGCCTCGGGCAAGCGCCATGTAGTTCACAGCCCTACCTTTAACGGTTAGATTCATCTTACTATTACATGAATCAAAGAGCTACTCACGAGCTTCCTCCCAGCTGCTTTCCTCTAAGAAATACCAGCTTCCTGGCATTCAACTGTGGCTGAGGTACAGTTTCCAACTCCCATAATCCCTCTTTGTCCTCTTGAAGCTGCTTGACATACTTGCCGGGCACTAGAACGTCCGGCGCAAGGCCTGAATCTCTGCCAGCTTCTACTAGAAGCACGGAGACATTGGGTATTGAGGCAAGTTCTGCTGCAATGACACATCCGGAGGTGCCTCCGCCACATACGATGAAGTCGAAGGTTTGACCGGAAATGGCTGTTGCGCTCAAGGTCGTTTTGGGCTGCATGTTGAGACAAGAGTCACTAGATGATACTCAGAATATTTCCAGAACAGTTCACCGATGTCAAATATTTTTAAATATAAGAAGATCTTCCGAGTGCTTTCAACGTAGAGAGATTGTTGGTGGATCGGCCGTGGTGTCTCAGCGGATGTCCAGAAAAGGAAGTTCGATGAGCAACGAACGTTGTCCGGTCTACAACCAAGCCTTGTTGGATATCAGATCACTCAATATTTGACTGAAAAGAGATTCATCCAATAAGTCAATTTAGTGATGGATTCAACTGGAAGTTGAACCAGATTCTTGATCAAAGCCCCCCACAATAATGGAAAGCTTCAACAATTATGTCGTTCAGCCATATTGGGCAATCGATATACAACACTTTAAGCCTTGTGATAGGGTCCGGCAGGTTTCCCCGAAGTGATCTATTATTTTCATTCTTATACATTCACTGCATTATTTGATAAAAAACAATCATAAATACTGAAAGAGCGATCCAAAAATCCTCGTAGAGTCCAACAATCTACTGCTTCAATTCCCCACCATCAACCCCTAAATCCAATTCTTCAAGGACTGAATCAACTCCTCGCGATGCATCACATTCTCAAACTTAAACGAAGCCGCCAGCTCATTCAACTCCTCAAACGAAAGATCCCGGAAATAATCAGCAAACTCCCACCCCAAGTACTGCGACAATAGAACATCACGAAGAACCCGATCAACGTAATCGCTCGTCCCCCACGTCGGCGGGTAAAGCGCCTTGAGGTGTTCCTGGGGGATCACCTCGCTAAAGTGATCCTTCACACGTTGATAGATACTCTCAACCTCCGGGGCGGCATTACGTCCCCATCGGTCCAGGCCAAGTGAAAGTTTCTTGTCCAGCCAGGGTCGGAGATGCCGGTACCACTTTGAATCTGGGGAGACGAATGTCAACCCCTGGTAGCCAATATCCTTGTAGAGCCAGATAGACCAGGAAATCGGGGCGCCGTCGCCGGACGGATCGCCTTTCTTGTAGATTGCCAGTTGGTCGCGCATGAGAAGATACCGTGACGCATTGGTACCCTCAATATCGGTGTCATTACGCATTGCAGATGCGTAGACAGGACCCCATTCTCCATTCCAGACGGGCACGCCGGCTTGCTTCATGTGTGCGATCTTGCGCTCGTATGAAGCAAGCAGCTTAGCCTTTTGTGTCTCCGTGCCGGTATACCTCTCCTCGCACATGGGGAACCCGTATTTGGAGTAGTCATGGATAGAGTAGACCGAGTTCGGATACGGAGTCTCGGGGAAGTAGTTGAAATCAGCTGCGTAGGTGTTTCCATCCAAGAAGAGGATGTGTTTGTCGTCAACCGAGCGGATGGCCTTTTCGATTCGAGTGTAGAAGTCGATGAGGCGGGTGTGTTTGGGGTCTGCGGGTTCGTTGAGAGGATTGTACCCAGCGATCCAGGGATTCCCATTGTAGTGTGCTGCAATCGCCTTCCATAGCTCGATGATAGAATCTTGGAAATGTCCATAATCCCAGAACTGGGCGCGATGAGTTCCATTGTCAGAATGCCAGTCCTGGTTCTGGCCTCCAGGTACAGTATGCAGATCTAGCACAGTGTAGACTCCAAAGCGACCACAGCTTTCCACAATACGATCGAGGAGTTTGAAGCCACTGGGTTTGATCTTGGTCAAGTCCCGGTCGTCGAGGAAATGGCGATGATTGAACGGGATACGGAGACAGTTCAGGTTGCAGGAGGCAAAGAATTCCGAATCCTTATCCGTCCAGAAGTATTCGTAGAAACGGTCCCAGAAGAAGTCGTATTTCTCTTGACCCATCACCTTCAGCATAGCTTCCTTTTGCTCGGTCTCGTGTCCCGCGTAGCCTGTAATGAAGTTTTCCATGTTGAGGTGACCTCCAGTAGCAGCCCCACGAAGGACGACTGGTTTGCCATCTTCATTGACGATTTTCGTCCCCTCAACGCGCAGGAATCCCGTCATGTTTATTCCGAATGCAAAGAGAGATCACGAGGGGGAAAAGTATTCAGAATATTTCGTGAGTTTGTTTTTGCAAGAGTGGCAGGCGGCTTCCAGTGCCCTCAATATAGCTTTTGTGAATGACATGTTCACTTCCTCGCAGATGCCCAGCTACCATTTAGCCGATCAGAAACACCAAACAACCTTTGAAGTCATCGTGGGTGTCTCGTGCCCATCAATGCGGGGTGGCCGGTACTCCGCGTACACTCCCCGAGGTGGTGGGGGCGCAACGTGGATTCATAGAATCGATCTCGGAGGAGCTCTGTGCCTTAGCAGGAGCCAATGGGGTACCTCTGGTTAAATTCAGGAGCAGTACCTCGAGTTTAGCCAAAAAAAAGCGGCATTGAATCAGCTGATTCGACTACTATGCTTATTGCCCACGGAGGTAAGAGTCTCGGAAACAAGTACTGTCATGGCCAGACATCTATTTTGATTATGTACTCAGACAGGAATGAATCGAAAAGAAAATTTCGGCAGAAAGGAATAAGAGGAAACAAAATCTATTCAAGCATGACAACATGGGCAATGCAAATAGTCCCAGCGGGTCCATTTAGAACGAATAGCCAATATTCGTCGGACCACAGATGCAGTAGAGTACATAGCAACACAGCGCTCACCAACCAAAGATCTCGCCAACGCTAAGCGTGCTCCAGCGCACACCCGCAACGGCAAAGAGCATGAGGACGACGTCAACGACGCCCAGCACGACAGCACCCATCATGAAGCGTGGGCTGAAGATGCGGTAGAGCATTAGGTGGCGACGCAGGTGGCCCGCCCACATGGTTGTTGCGAGATTGATAGTCGCAAGGTACAACATGTGCGTAGACGCAGCCTGAACAACATCCGAGAGTAGCTTAGTAGCGGGGTTAGCCACCTTTGCATCCGACGTTTGTGACACGCGATCCTGCGTCTTTAGAGGCCGTTTCCAAAGGACAGTCAAGGGAACGGCAATTGCGGCGAGGATCTGCGCGCCAAAGGTGTTGAGAATAACTAGGAGAGGGGACCAGGGGTATTTGATGGTGGACATGGGAATGAAGGCGGTTTCCCACTGGATGGAGCTGAGGACGGCTTGGTGGCCGGTCTTGAAGAAGTAGAAGGAGCCAAGGAGGCCAAGAACGATAGGGCCGATGGGCGAGTTTGTGAGAGTGAGAGCATTTGTATCGAGGATTTCAAGGAGCGAGAGGATCTGGGAGATTAAGAGGGCAATGGCGCCTTGCCCCATGGGCTTTTGCATGAGAATGATTGCGAGCGCAAAATTGACCACTAGGAAAAAGAAGCGTGTGCCGTAGACGTTGCCGAAGCCTAGAATGGTCACGGTTGTACGGGGTTGCTGTTGCTGGCCAGCGATAATGGGAGCGGGAGGGGCGTTGGGGTCCTCGGTTGGTTTGTTCACGCTGATAGTGATACAGGGCTTGGAGTAAAGAAATGCGCCTGTACCAGCACCTAGTGCGAGAGCAAGGACCAGTTGAGCGAGGAAAACGCGGACAGACTTGAGGGTTTCCTTGCGGAGTGGCAACCACTCGCCATCATCGGCACCTTCGAGCACCCAGAATAGTGCAGTGATCAGAAGACCCAGCCGGAAGGCAAAGCCAATCCATAGAGTAGCAGCACCCTCGTACGACTTGGACCCGGCGTAGAAGGCGCGCACGACACCAGGAAGGATGAGAGCTACCAGGAAGGGAATAGCCAGCTGCCAAGGGGCGGAGATGGACGAGGTAGAGGAAGCGTAGTAAGTAGAGCGGCAGAATGGCATTTGCTCCTCGCGGCAGAGACGAGAGAAGGAGGCAACACGGCCCAGGATCACGAAGAGAATGGAGTGGTACACGCCAAGGACGCGGTCTGTGGTCGACTTCTGACGCATGGACGAGATTCCAGCGCACACGCCGAACGTCGTCAAGAAGAAGAGCAAGATCTCATCTTCCCAGATGGTATACGAGTTTGACGCATAACCGACGGACTGGGAAACAGTGAAAAAGAAGGCGAGCCAACCCCACATGCCATTGGGAAGAGGCAGCGTCAAGTTCGCCGGCTTCTTGACCAATGCAAAAAGCCCTCCCACCATACTTCCAAAAGCAGCCAGGAGGGCGGACGAGTCGATCGTGGTCATCTCGGTAAATCCAAAGAGAACGAACGCGGCACCAGTGACAGCTCCAACACCAGTTCCAACGCCAACCAACGAGAGGAGTGAGGAGGTCAGTTCCGTACGATCAATCTTCAATCCACGGGCGTACACGACCAGCAGAGAAATGCCGAAGAAGAGAAGCCCAACTCCTGCGAGCATGCTGGGCACATCGAAGCGCGCCCAGAGCCCACGGCAGATCTCTAAAGTGTGTCGCTGGTAGTTGCGATAGAGTTCGTAGCTGGAACGGACTATGGCGGACTTAGAAGTGAAACCCTTGGACGCGGACTTCCATTCCTCCTCAGCGGCGGTCCACAGTGCGAACGACTCCTCGTCATCACCTGCGCCTCGGGCCGTCGCATACGCATGCTGATATCTTTTGATCTGGGCCGCCGACAGACGGTTCACAGCCAACAGGTTCGACCAGTCATTGCCATTCGGACCGGCAAATGCTTCCTCGATGGGCGCACCCAAATTGTTGAAGGGGATAGGCATTCCAAGGAGCAGGGACAAAGTCGGAACGAGATCAATCTGCGGGACGAAGCGCTCGCGGGCATGCTTCGGCGGCAGGAGAGTGTCTTTGCTAGTGCGACCGAACACACCACGCTTGGAATACATCCACAACGCAGCTTCGACCTCATCATCCGACTCACCACCGTGATCGCCCTTAGTATCCATACCATGGTCACCCATCACGACCAACAGCGTATCATCATCCAGCGAAGCCATGATCTTACGGATGACGCTGTCCATCTCTTGCAGCTTGGCTACCATAGCGGCGTGATTGGGTCCATAGCGATGTCCTGCGTGGTCAACGCCCAGGTAGTGGCCAAAGATCACGTCCCACTTGGACTTGTTCTCGGGTTGGAGG